ATTCAATTATTTTCTAAAATTTTAATGAAATCCAATAATTAAATGTTCAATTTCAATTATTAACAAGTTCATAAAATTCAATTATTTTCAAAATTTTTAACTTTAAAGAAACTCCATTATTTTAAAAAGAAATTCAAAGAAATCCTTCATAAACAATTACATTAGAATTTTCAAAAATTTTAACAAAATTCGCGAGAATTTAATTATTTTCCTTAAATTATTTTCCCAAAGTTTCGAAAGTTCAAATGAATCAAATATTTTTAATAATTATTTGGCTGAACTGAAAAATATTGTAATTTAACATTTAGAAAAATTAATTTTTTAATTATAAGAAACAGTAGTTTTCAGTAGATTTAAAATTGAAAGAAGTGATAAAAATATCGTCGTTCACATGAACAAAGTTCGAAACTTTATAGGGACTTTTTTATTTTTCGAAATTAATTTGACTTCTTTTTTTTTTGTTTCAGAGAATTCACCGAAGAAAAAAAATTCGTTTTTCCTGTGGATGAATTGAAAATTAAGTATTCATTAGTCAATTTCAATTTTATAGTTAATAAAACTTGTGCTGACCAATATTGAGCACTTGAAAGTTTTATATAAACTGTGCAGGTAAAATCTTTCAACTTCCATTTATGAATATAGATTAAAATTTTAAGTAAAACGTTTATAAAACGTGGTTGATAATAATTTTCTGAATATTAATTACAAAAGTTTCGACTGCATATTTATTGAAATTTCTTATATTTAAATTTTAAAAATTTATTGTTGTTTTACTGAAAACGTATTTTTTCTGAATAAGAAAAAAGTAAATATTTATTTAGAACTTTTATAGGGAATATTAAATTTCAATTCAATTTGAGAAAAAAAATCCTTTAAATATTCAAGAAGGTCATTCTCGGATTATTTTGAAATCCAAAAGGAGAAAATGAAAAAAGCGAATATATGGAAATGAAATAAATAGCATACTTTATGTGAAAGAAAATATTTTTGATAAATAAGAAAAATTAAATTTTTTACTATTTTATGAATAATAACAATATTCAGGCCTTGGATATTACGACATTTCGACTTTCTTTGATTATTTTTAAAAAATGCGATTTTTTTTACTTAATTTCAACAATTACGACTTTTTCGACTTTTCTTCCAAATATTACAACAAAATAACACATTTTTAGTATAACATGCAACTTATTTCAATTTTTGTAATGTGAAAAAAAACTACAGACAAATCTTTCAAAAGTTATTTTAAAATAATTTTTAATTAAATTTTCGAAATATACAGTTAAAAGATTTTAAATAATTGAAATTTTGTAAAATTTAATTGAAAATAATTGATTTTTTTTGTAGTATTTTATTACAATTTTTAAAAAACAACTTTTGAAGAAATTTAATTGTAAATTTTGAAAATAATTGAATTTTCAAAAATTTTAGTGAAAAATCTTCAGAAGTGTAAATTTAAAAATGAAAACGAATGAAAATTTGCTTCTAAAAATTATATTAAAATATTTTTGAAAAAAGTAATTCCTAAAATTTTTTAATTAAAATTTTTGAGAATTTAATTATTTCCAATAATACTTTCAATTTCAATTTTAAATTTTAAATTCAACTTTTAAGTCATTTCAAATTCAAAATTTAGAAAAATTCAATTAATTAATTATTATTATTATTTTCAAAAATTGGGATAAAATTATTTGTATAAATTCCATTTTATTTTTAATACAATTTTAATTAAATTACTCTGGAAAAAATTTAATTATTTTCACAAACTTTAAGAAAATTTTTTGCTGGAATTCAATTATTTTCAATACAATTGTAAATAAATTTCTAGAGAGAATTTTATTATTTTCAAAAATTTTAATAAAATATTATTCAGGGAGAAAAAATCGAATATTAATTAAATTGAATTCATTTATTGAAATACAAAAACAATTTTAATCATACAAATTTTTTCTCCGCTGAAATAAAGAAATTTTTTCACAAATATTTTCAAATATTGATTTAATTATTTAATTAAGAGATGTATTTTGTTGTTTTATTAATTTAATTAAATTTATTGAAAGAGAAAAATATTTTTAAATTATAAAATTCGTCCAAATTGAATTATTAGTAATAATTATTATCGTTAAATATTTAAAGTACCTACGTATTCAAATCTACATTATGATTAATATAATAAAATATTTAGATGAAAAAAATTCTTGTAAAAAGCAAGAAGAAAATTTTTCAAAAATACAAATTTTGAAATTTGAATTTATATGGATAAAAAAGAGTTTGTTTTCTGAAATTCAATTCATCAAATACGAGAAGAAAAAAAGCATATTTTTATAGATTCGCATATTATAAATCCTTGCGAGTCATTAACTTCCTTTAATAATGAAAAAAAAATTTAATTTTACTTCTTTATCTATATATAATGCTTTCTTATGGTCTACGTACTGTTGCATAGAAATATTATTGCATCATTATATTAGACACACTGATGTAATACGCATGCAATCAAATACCTGACGCTTTCATTTCAAGAAAATACATTTGAAAATCAATTGCTTTTTATTCTCTCTTAATTAACTTCTGACATGTAAAATACATTTTATAAAGAATTCGCTCTTCCTTTATGGATATAAAAACATTGATTATAGATATATTTTTTTTCTTTTCTTTCCAAATTCGCATTACGTACCCAGAAAAAAATTATAATCATCAAGATTATTAACTTTAATAAATAATAAATTATTAAGTTTATTCATTTTAAATTTTTAATAATTTTCATGTTTGTTAATTTTAATAATTATCAAGTTCATTAATTGTAATAATTATCAAGTTTATTTATTTAAATAATATTATTCATTTGAATAAACTTGATATTTATTAATTATAATACTTATTAAGTTTATTTACTTCAATAACTATTATGTTTATTTATTTTTATAAATTAATAATTAGTATTATAATTGCAATTTTTAAATATATATGTATTTTCAGGGTTGTCACAAGTCAGAAAAAGCAGGGAATTCAAGGAATTTTATCAAAAGTACTGGAAAAATATGAATTTTCTAAAATGTTTTCAAAACTTCTGGTTTTTGGTGTCTATAAACATTTTTTAAATATTTAAAAACCTTGTGAAACATTTAATGAAGACATTACTAATAATTAAAATATGTTTGTTAAAAAAATTATTGAAGTTTTAAAAAATTTTATACAAAATATAAATAATAAAATAAATAAATACCTAAATAAAATTCTGAAAAAAGGAGATTATGAAGAAATTCAACTCTTTAAAGATACTTAAATTTTTAAAAAATGATATTAAAAACTAAACGTGTATATATTTTATTATTGTTATACAGAAAACAGAATTTATTACTTTCAAATATAAACTTCAATTTTTTTTTAAATTTCAGAGTCAAAATTTAAAAAAGTTCAGTTATTAACTAATTTATTATTATTTTATTTAGAATAGAATTTATTTCTTGATGCTACAAATTTTGTTTTATACCTCTTGCAGCCTTATTATTATTTTGTTTATTATTTTGAAAAATATCATTAAAACTCTTCTAAACAATTCAATTAATTTCAATGCAATTTTTAAATGAATTCCTATAAATAATTTCATTAAAAATTAAAATTAAAATTTTTGTTTTCAAAAATTTTCATTAAAATACCTATTCTTCAAAACAATTCAATTATTATTAATGCATTTTAAAATAAATTTCTTGAAAGAATTTTATTATTTTCAACAATTTTCATTAAATTACTCTTCAAAACAATTCAGTTATTTTCAAAAAATTTAATATCAATTAATATCGTATGAGTTTAATTATTTTCCAAAATTTCAATCAAATTCTTCATAAAAATTTAACTATATACTTTCAATAAAATTCTAATAAAATTTCTCGAAAGAATTAAATTAATTTTTGTAATTCAATTTTAATTGAATTCCCCGAAATTATTTAATATTATTACAATTCAATTATTTTTTTTTATTTTTGATAAAAATTTTACGAAGTTAATTATTTTTGAACAAAATTTTGTTTAAAAATTGAAATTTTGTAAAATTGAATTGTAAGTAATTATATTTATTATAAAGAATTTCACTAGATTTAAAAAAAATTGAATTTTCCAAGAATTTAATTTAATAATTGCGGTAAATAATTTAATTTTATAATAAAGAGTCCCAATTGGATCTAAAATATAGTAACTTAATTATAAAAGATAATTATAAAATTATACACTACCGTCCATAATTGAGTGGACACCCCTTTTTTCATTATTGTGTAAAAAGCGTTAAGCGTAAGAAAGAAAAAGAATAAAAATTTTCTCAATTTTTTTTCTAAAAGCTAATATAATTATGAAAAAAGTTACTCTTAATAGAAGAGATTACTTTCAGTTTTCTGTTAGATATTTATAAAAAAATATTGATTTTGCATGCTTTTCTTAATTTTTCATTTTCTCCGAAGCTAATTAACTTTTTTTAATCCCTATTTTTCAAAAATAAACCTTATTTTTCAAAAATATACCTTATTTTTCAATTTTTACAAAAACTACATCTTTTGTTAATTTTTTAAATCATTTTTATCGGAAAGCTGAGATTTTTTCCAGTAAACAATGGATTTTAAATAAAATAAATAAAAAGTGATTAAAAAGTTGTTTTGTTTTATTTTCTTGAAAACCCATTGTTGTCTCTTTTTTAAAATTTACATTAATTATTCGAAAAAACTTTAGCTTTCTAATGAAAATTATTAAAAATTAATGAAAATGGTAATTTTTGCGAAAATTGAAAAATAATGTTTATTTTTGAAAAAATAATTTTTTTTAGAAAAAGAGTTTTTGAATTGAAAATTAAACAAAAAATAATAAATAATATTAATAATTATATTTTAGGCATATGTTTAAATTTAAAACTGAAAAAATTGAAATTTCGAAAGGTTTTATTTTAAATTCTGAAAAATTTGGTCTTTAAAATATTTTTGTTCTATTTTTTAAAATGCTTAAATTTTTTTCGAATAATTGCAATTTTCTAAAATTCTACACAAAAAAATGAATTTTTCTGAAGTTTTTGACATGAAAATTCGCTACAGTAAATAATTTAATTTTTAAAATATGTTGATAGACACCCTTAAAGTTTTAAATCATAAATGTTTTTGCCTCGATCTTTTTATTACTAATCGAACTCGTATTGAATTTTTTTTTTTAAATACTGATAAGGGAAAAAGTTATAATTTTCTTTCTGGAATTGAAAGAAAATCAAATTCTTCTGGCAACCCTGTATAATATATGAAATATTTAATTAAACTTCCAATTAAATATCTATATAAAATATAAAAATAATTCTTTCACAACTAAATTTCTTCTAATCTATGAAGTATTTTTTTCTGAGTGAAATGCAAATACTCCTAAAAATACAAACACCTAAGTGTATGTTTAATATAAAGTGTAAAAAAAAGATTAAAGCTGTTATAGGCCATCTATTTTTAGGAGTATCTGCCATGAATTTATTTTAACGATAATCAATAAAAACGTAGGCTAATATATTTAATTACTATTTCATAACACTACTTATTAATTGTTTGCTTATATATTAGAATAATTCCCACACTTAACAATAATTCGAAACCATTGAAAAAAAGTATATATTGTCATATGATAATTGCTATCTAATTAATCGAATAGAAATACAATTTTCCTTTCGTACAATTTTTAGAATTTACAATTTATATTAATAATTTTAAAATAATTTAGAAAAATTATTTCAATTTTTGGAAAATTTTAGAAAACTTGTTGAAAATTCTTATTGAAAAAAAATTTCCTTATGGATGAAATTTAGTCACCAAATGTCCAATAACTGGGATGAATTTCATTTTTTCCGTGAGAAAATCCAAAGTAATTCGCACTATGTCAAAATATTTGTACATGTAGTAAAGAATTCCAAAATAGAACGAGTAGACGGCAATTAAATGGATTACGTAAAGCCTGAAAAATTTAAATTATTTACATTATTATTCAAATACTTTATTGCATTCAATGATGATTAATAAATATTTTACTCAAAAAATTGTAACTAACAATAAATTTTTCGAAACCTATTTTTCGAACTATTTATTTTTCATACAAATTGGAGTTTTTTTTTAAATATATTTTTCCAACTATTTTTTTTTCTTACAAGTTAAATTATTTTTTTCGAATAAACTATTTGAAAAATTTAATTATATTATTTGGAAAGTATTCTTTTCGAAAAAAATATTTTTTGAGAAATATATTATTTGGAAATTATATTTTTCGAAGATTATATTATTCGAAAAATATTTGTTTTTAGAATTCTTTTTGAAAAATATATTCTTCGATACAAATATTTTTCGAGAAATATATTATTCGGAAAGTATATTTTTCTAAAAATATATTATTCAAAAAATATTGGTTTCGAAAAATGAACATTTTTCCAAAAATATTTCTTTTCGAGAAATATATTATTCAGAAAGTATTCTTTTCGAAAAATATATTCTTGGTGAAAAATATTTTCGAGAAATATATCATTCGAAAAATATTTATTTTTCTGGTTTATTTAGATTTTATTTCTCTTCATTTTTATTTTATTTCTGTTTTGATTGAGGGAAGATTCTTTTCTTTATCCTTTATTATATTGTAAATGATGGCTTACATTTTTTGATGCAGTCGAGCTCTCGGCAATGATGACAAATTTTCCTTCATGCAATATTGTCTTGCCCCAAGGACAACGTGTTTTATATATTCCATTTCGTCTATTGTCAGAAAATCTATCGGAAATAGCACCTTGTCCTTTGGACTCATATCGCCCCACAGTATGAGAAGATTTGTATTGTGAAAAACCCATTCTCTAGTAGTAAAGTATTGTAATACTTCAAGTCCATCCGAAATTCGCTTTTGTATTCTCACCATGCTACGAAATCCTTTATATTATTATACATATCATTTATGGAGAAATAGATAAAAATATAATATACTTATGTATCTAGATATATTATATTTTTATTAAAATATAATAAAATAAATAAGAGGGAAATAAATAAAAATATTATATTTTTACTATTTATTGATACAATAAACCGACAATTTTTAATAATATTACTTTAATTTTTTCCAGGCCTCGAATAGTGTGGCTTTTGGAGTTTTCTTCGACTATTTTCAAAAAAGGCGCGACTTTTATCGACTCATCTTCAAAAAATTGGATTTTTTCGACTTTTCTTCAAAATATTACAAAAAAATACCACTTTTTTTGGTATAAAATGCAACTTAATTTTGAATTCTTTCTATTCATATTACTAACAATAATTGAATTTTATAGATTTGGGAGCGTTCACAAATGATGTCACGCAATTTTTGAAGATTTTCACCCCCCCCCCCCCCCTCTGCTGTCACGCAATTTTTGCAATTTCATATGAGAAAAATACATTGTGTCACGTTTAGTAAGACCCTACCCCCAAAAGCGTGACATCATTTGTGAACGCTCCCTTTAAAATTAATCAAAATTAAAAACAATTCAAATATTTGAAAAAAATTTCATAAAATTCTTCGCACGAGATTCAATTGTTTTCATAAATGATAGAATTCTCTTAAGGGGATTTGAACCTTGATGACGTCACAGTTTGTGCAAAGCATTAGTTTTAAATCTGTGACGTCATCATGGTTCAAATGCCCTTAAGAAATTGAATTATTTCTTAAAATTTTAATTAAATTCTTTACAAAAATTTAATTATTTTCACAGATAATAAAATTCTTTGTAAAAATTCAATTATTTTCATAAAAAAAAATTATTTTTCCCAAAAAAATTAAATTAAATTCATAAATACTAAAATTTGTCGAAAAAATTCAATTATTTGCACAAGAAATTTCGCAGGATTTTTGAATTCCAATTTAAATTCGGTGTAATTCAATAATTTTCAGTACTTTTAATAAAATTATTTTCAAAAATTCAATTATTTTCATAGATAATAAAATCCTTTGCAGAAATTCAATTATTTCGATAACTAATATAAATCTTCGGAGATATTCAATAATTTTTAATACTTTTAGTGCAATTCTTCACAAGAATTCAATTATTTTCATAGATAAAAAAATTGTTTGCAGAAATTCAATTATTTTTATAAATAATAGAAATCTTCGGAAAAATTCAATAATTTTTAATACTTTTAGTGAAATTCTTTACAAGAATTAAATTATTTTCATAGATAATAAAATTCTTTGTGGGAATTCAATCATTTTATTAAAAAAAATTTTTCGATAAACAATTCAAATAAATTCATAAATACTAAAATTTTTTCTTAAAAATTCCATTATTTGCACAATAATTTCGCAGGAATTTTAAATTCAGAAAAATTCAATTATTTTCAAATCTTTGAATGAAATTCTTTACAAAAATTCACTTATATTCATAAAGAATAGAATTCTCAGCAGAATTTCAATAATTTTTGAAAAATTAAAACAGCATTTTCTTTTTTAAAATATTCTATTTTAAAGGATTTGAAGTTTGAAATTTTTTCAAAATCTAAATTCCTAGGGAAAAATAATAATAATGTTTAAATATTTATTGAAAAAATAAAACTGTTGATGTTTCAAATAATTTTACAATTAAAGATATACTTAAAAACAAATGTATTTCAAGCATTTTTTTATATCTAATTATTTTTAGAATGAATTAAAATATTTTTTGTCTCTGAATTTTATCAAAAGTAGATACTGGGAAAATGTTAAATTTACAGAATTTATAAAAAATTTGAGATATTTGAAACAATTCAATTCTTGAAGAACAAGACATAAAATTATTATTTAAAAACAATTCCCCAAAATGTTTTAAAATGAAATTTTTGAATATTTAAATTATCTCTAGTTTTAATTAAAAATTCTATTTCAAATTCTCTGGAAATTAGTTGAAGTTTTGAATATTTTTCTTTACGTAATTGAATATTCTCAAAGAACTTTCTCAAAAATTATTGAAAATAATTGATTTAGAGAAGAATTTTAATTCAAAATGCGAAGAAATAATTAAATTGATATCTTGAAAATAATTTTAAACAAATCACAGTAACTTATAAAAAAAATTTATTAAAACAAATTTAAAAAATTCAGTTTTTAAATATTTTTCATAATTTATTTTTGAGTTAGACTTCTTTTTCCTTTTTTTTATGAATTTTTCCAATAATAGAGTCGCAATAATTCAGAAAAATCCGGGAAGTTGAAGAGTTTTATCCAAAGTAGTAGAAAGATATTAAATTTCTAGAAAATGCTACAAAAATTCAGATTTTTCGAGTCCTTTGAAAATAATCGAAAAAACTTTAATTGTCCTTGAATTTTCATCTTGAAAAACTTTTTTAAAAAAGCACGACGAATTACAATTTGTTATTTTGTATTCAAATAATTAAATTCTCAAATTAATTTCTGAAAATTATTTCAAAACAATTAATTTCGAGAAAAATTTTAATTAAAAATTGTAGAAAATAATTAAATTTTGGAGCAAATTTTTGGAAATAATTAAAATTCAAAGGATTTCAAATTAAAAATTCCATTGAAATTTCAATTGACAATATTTAATAATATATAAACGTACTTATTTTTAAAAAAAACCGTTAAACTTTAAATAAATTTAGTTGAAAATTTTAGAAAATACTTGAATTTTAGAAGAATTGCAGATGTAATTTTTAGAAATAGGTAATAAAACTTTTATTATGGAAATAAATTTTATGATTTATAAAATTTTATTACAATTTTTAAAAGTAATCGAGTTTTTTGAAGAGAAATGTTAAATTTTTAAAAAAATTTATTTGAAAGTAATTGAGTTTTAGAAAAACAAAAACTTAAAATTAAAGTTATTTTTGGGACAAGGAAAAAAATGAAAAATTTTCAAGAAAATGAGTGGAAAACTCAGGGAAGTGGAAAATCAAATTTTTTTCATGACTCTGAATAGAATAAACGACTTTTTCGATTTTATTTTTTGTACTTTAAAATTTAAATTGACTAAAACGAGTTTTTTTTTACTCTTGAAGTCGATCCGAGACCTTTTTTTGTAATATTTTTTGGAATAATATATTCGTTTTTTAAAAAAGGAGACGGTTTGATATAAAAGCAAATAGACCATTTTTTGGAAATTATTTGAAGACTAAATTTAAAGAAAAATACATTTTTGTATATGAATTTGAATTTTACTTACAATCTTTTTTGTCTAAACAGAAACATGAGGAAATCGATGAAATACGCTGGAATAAGATGAAAGAAGAATATGAAAAGATTATGGACAAATTTACTGCCACGAATGTCACCATCTGGATACCAAATTGCACCCTCGAAGGGATATTCATGGACGACTTTTTTGCCCTTCTGCAAAATTTCACCCCAGGTAATTGGCAAAACTCCACTTTGTGTTATATTATAAACAGGTATGTTTTTTGCTCTGTAAAATAGAAATTAATCGTAAATACTATTAATCATATTGTCAACACCCTTTTTTCTTCTATTTAACGTTGATATAAGAATTTATTATGCTCACGTTCGCTTTTTGTATGTGCGTGACATAATTTTATTTCATACTTTCTCGACTCTCTTTTCTTTTTCTTTTTTTAATTTTTTCTTACGAAAAACTTACTTTTCCACGGTGACTGCTGTCTTGAAAGAAATTCCAATTAAGGCGTTAATAGCTAAGTCGACGGGAATTACTTCCGCATGATAATTGGCATTACAGTGCATTGATCGAATAACTCCTTTCCCGCCACCGACGAGTAATCCAACAGGTCCATTTAAATTGTCAACCCATCCTGGCATAGGTTCTGACCAAGCCGGTGTCACTGAACAATTTTTTTTCTTTTATCAAACTTTACTTGCAAGACGATTTTTATTTTATTTTTTATTTTTTTTATCAATCCATTAAAATTAACCAAATGTCGTTGACGGACTGCTATTAGAATAATTTTTTAAATAATATAGAAATAATTTTCAATATCCACACAATAATATTTTTATACTCAATATTCATTTTTGAAAATTATTTACAAAAATTTCTTGAAATTAATTTAGAATTTTAATTTTTTGATCAAGTTATTTACAATACAATTTCAATTTACTAAACTCCTCGAAAAAATTTAATTATTTTCCAAAAATTTTATTTATTTATTTATTTATTTAAGTAATAAACGGGCTTACAAAAAATAAATGCCCTTTCGTACAGATGTACTAGTAATTATTGAAATATAAGAACAACAATAGTGCTAGGCTGCAGCATCATAATCATATGTGAGAATAAATTTACGTAACGATGCCTTAAATATTAATATTAAGTTATTAAAAATATCTAATTCATCACTACATTCGTTAGCCTCCTTACATATTCTGGTAAAAATAGAATTATCTCCGTAGTCAGTCCTATGGTAATGGAGTTTAAATAAATTTTGCCTACGTGGTGATTTAATAGGAATTGCAAAATTAATTTTTTCTAAGATAGTGGGGCAATCAACAATTCCATGAACAATTTTATACAGAAACAGTAAATCTGAATATAAAAATCTTGATGTCACAGTTGGTATCTGGAACCGATGTCTCAAATCATTATAATCATGCGAATAAAAATCATAACGTATATTAAGCTGTCGTGCAATAAATCGCAGATATCTGTTCAATACACGTTCAAATCGTAAAATCTGATACTCCCGATAAGGTGACCAAATTTCCGATAGGAAATGCATAATTGGCATTATTAAAGAAGAATACAGGACCTTAAGTGTATTCAAGTTTCTAAAATTTGAAGAATTTCTAGTTATGAAACCAAGAGTTCGAACCGCATTACTAATTGCTTCATCAAAATGATAATTAAAATTAAGTTGACAATCTAGGATCAATCCCAAGTCACGAACCCTGTCCACTCTCACAAGCATTGAATCACCAAACTTATACTGATGATTAATTACTGTTTGACGTCTTGAAAATGATATTACACTACACTTTTTAAGATTTAGAAATAATTGATTTTCAATTGACCACTGAAGTAGACTGTTAAGATCAGCCTGAATATTTTCAAAGTCATCTAAACTATTTATTTTACTATTTTAATAAAATTTTTCGAAAAAATTCAATTGTATTCATATAAATATAAATAATAAAAATTTTTCGAAATTAATCAATTGTTTTCATATAAAGTATAAAAAATAAAATTCTTCGCAGGAATTCGATTAAATTCAAAAATACTAAAATTTTTCGTAAAACTTCAATTATTGCCATATAAATAACAGAATACTTTGAAGAAATTCAAAAATTTTAACGAACTTTACAAGAATTAAATTATTTTTATACCTAGATAATAAAGTTTTTGGCTGGAATTCAATTATTTTGATAAATAATAAAATTCTTTGAAGAAATTCAATTATTTATAAAAATTTTAATGAAATTCTTCACAATAATTCAATTATTTTCGAACATAATACAATTTTTGGCAGGAATTCAATTATTTTCATAAATAGTAAAATTTTTTGTAAAAATTCGATTAAATTCAAAAATTCTAAATTTTTTCGTAAAAATTATATTATTTGTACAATAAATTTGCACGAAATTTTAATTCAAATTTAAATTTTGAGGAATTTAATAGTTTTAATGAAATTTTAATGAAATTCTTCAGAAGAATTGAATTATTTTCTTAAATAATAAAATTCTTTGCAAGAATTCGATTAAATTCATAAATACTAAAATTTTTCTTAAAAATGCAATAATTTTTAAAACTTTAAAATAAAATTCTTTACAAATAATTCAATTATTTTCATAGATAATAAAATTTTTAGTAGGAATTCAATTATTTTCGTAAATAATAGAATTCTTTGAAGAAATTCAATTATTTATAAAAATTTTAATGAAATTCTTCACAATAATTCAATTATTTTCAAAGATAATAAAATTCTTGTCACGAATTAAATTATTTTCGTAAATAATAACATTTTTCGTAAAAATTCGATTAAATTCATAAATACTAAATTTTTTCGCAAAAATTATATTATTTGCACAACAAATTCGCACGAAATTTTAATTCAATTTTGAATTTTGAGGAATTCAATAGTTTTCAATACTTTTAATGAAATTCTTTACAAAAATTCAATTATTTTCATAGATAATAAAATCCTTTGCAGAAATTCAATTAGTTTGATAAATAATAAAATTCTTCAGAGAAATTCAATTATTTATAAAAATGTTAATAAAATTCTTCAAAAGAATTAAATTATTTTCAAAGGTAATAAAATTCTTCGCTGGAATTCAATTATTTTCATAAATAATAAAATTTTTCGCAAGAATTCGATTAAGTTCATAAATATACTAAAAATTTTGTTAAAAATTCAATTATAGACATAATAAATTCGCAGGAAAGATTTAATTAAAACTTAAATTCTTAGAAATTCAATTGTTTTCAATAATTTTAATGAAATTCTTCAAAAGAATTCATTTACTTTCATAAATAATAGAATTCTTCACAGAAATTCAATAATTTTAAAATCTTTTAATGAATTTCTTCACAAGAATTTCAATTAGGTATTTTAAAAATAAAAAAATTTTTTCCAGAAATTCGGTTATTTTTAAAAATTGTATTGAAATTCTTGACAAGAATGCAATTATTTTCATAAATAATGAAATTCTTCTCAAAAATTCAATTATTTCCATAAATAATAAAATTCTTCGCAAGAATTTAATTATTTTTATAAATTACTACATCTTTCATAAAAATTCAATTATGCCCAATATATTTGCTAGAAATTTTAATTTAAGTTTAAATTCGGAGGAATTCAATAATCTTTAAAACTTTTTAATGAAATTTCTGCTCAAGAATCCAATTATTTTTATAGATAATAAAATTTTTAGCAGTAATGCATTTAAATTTATAAATAATAAATTTTTCTTATGAAATTCATAAATATTGTCTTATAAATTTCAAATTACTTTGCAAGACTTGAATTATTTGCTCAATTATTGTTTCTCAGAGAATTTGAAATTCAATTTTTAATTTGCAGTAATTCAAAAAATTGTTAATAATTAAAAATTTTAATGGAATTCTTTTCAAGAATTCAATTATTTTTGCAAATAATAAAACTTTTAACAGGAATTGAATTACTTATAGATAATAAATATTAAAATGCTTCGCAGAATTTCAATTATTTTCATAATTATCAGAATTATCAATTTAAAAAATTTATATAAATTTATAAATATTATTTCTGTACAATTTTATTAAATTTTTATAGCTGTCAAAATATAACCTCTTTTCAGTGCAACTCAAAAATTCAAATTTCAAGTTAAATAGTTAAAAATAGTTGTTGAAAATAATCGTCAAAAGTGAGTTGTACAAATATTGAGAACAGTATACTGATTGAAAATCATTTTTACAATTTATAATTGATTTTTCTAAAAGGTGTCCGTAACGACTTTGGGTTAAATATAATGGATTAAACTTTTGTTTTGTTTTTTTTTAAATTTAAGGACATTTAAAAATAAATTACGAAAGAAAAAGTAAATATTTCCTTTAGAATATTTTATATATTTAAATTTTACTTTTTCATATATTGATAAACAGAATTTTTTAAAAAACAAAAAATTGTTTCTATTAAAAAGTAAAACGATATTTGTTAATGGACACGAGTGTCCATTATAAAAATACAAATACTGAATAAATGATTGAATAAATTCAAAAGGTAAATAAAAGTTAAAAAATTTTTCAGAGAAATAAAAAGTAGTATGTAAATTAAGAGAGAAAAAAAATTTCATTTTCATTACTAGAGAGGAGAAAAAAGTTAATTACCAATTGATGGTCTGGCAATTGCGATCGGCAAATTTGGATGTTCGTCGGCAACAAGTTTTTCTGCTAAACGCTTCGAATACGTGTATGTATTCGGATGAGGTTCCAGCAACCTTGAAATTAATTGAAATTAACTTGTAATTTTGAAAGATCTGAAAATTAGCAACATTTTTTTCTAATTCTAAGTGGAGAATTTTTTTTTAAACTCTAGAAACTTTGTATTGCAATACATTTATAGTTACAGTGTCATGTCAGTTTGAAACTAAGTAGGAAAAGCGTGTCATAGCAAGACAGCAGTGAAAAATACGTTCCACTTTAAGACACGTTAGGTTACCAAACGATTTTTTTTCGCTCTTTTTTTCCTTTGATAAATTATGTAACTTTTTGTGAGAAAAATTAATTTTCGGGTCTCTTGACTTTTCAGTTCTAATTTCTTTGAGTGGAATGTTTGGATACATTTTCAACTACATTAAAATCTAAAATCTTCGACAAAGTTGCCAAAATTATTTTGGATAATTCTTTTTTAAAGAATTTAAAATTAATTTTCTTTAAAAAAAAATGTAAAATTTCTCGAAAATTCCCACTGAGTGGAGAATCACCCATATAATATTTTGAAATAATTGCAAAATTTGGCATTCACTGCTTTTGAGTAATTCAATTATTTTCGAAAAAAACTTAAACTATTATTTGAATAACGGAAAAAAGTCCTGTTTCTAATTTTAGGCGCTCAAACACTTCCCATAGTGAAATGAGATATTAAATATTTATAGAATCACACAAGGCCTTTAACATAAAATAAACCTCAAGAATGTATGGAGTCAAAGATTTCGCATATCTTTATTTGACAACGAACATAAAATGACAATTTATTTGCATTCTATATTTATTGACAACTAAAGGTACGAAACTATGTTAGATTTCTTTTTACAATTTTTGATCTCTTGAAATTTATCTTTCTCAACATGCGATCGTATTGCAAGAATTTAACGATTTTTTTCCTTTTGTTGCTTTCAAAATTATTCTGATATATAATAAAGTATTATATTCTGAATAAATTGCATTATCTGAAATTAATTAATTATTTTTAGTTACCTAGATCTACTATTATTAATTAATTGATAATAATAATAGTAATTGTTTCGTGAAAAATTCTGGGAAAATTCAAATAATAATAGTAATAATATTATTATTCAATTTAAGTATAATATTAATTAATACGGTTTTATTAATTAATATTTTAATTTACTTAAATTAATACTAAAATCTACTAAAACCTACTATTTACTACTTTTTTTTACTATTTATTACTATTTCGATTCATTTTTTTGATTTGTGACACTTTTTTCTTTTTATTCAGAATTTTCACAACTTTAAATCCGCTAAAAGTTGAAATAAAATAGTTAATCTCAAAAATTTTAATAAAATTCTTCTTTAAAAAAAGTGAAAAATTTTGTTGAAATTTGTTTATAAGAATTAAATTACATTTTCATTAAAATGATTAAAAACTAGAAAAACTACAAGCGCGCGTAAAATTTTCTTTGCCATTGTTACTTTAAAAGATTTGCTTTTTGAAATTCAATGAAAATTCTTCATTTTCTAGAAAACATAATTTTTCTAACAGTTTTTCTTTAAATTTAATTATTTGAACAACTCGTATACAAAATCGGCAAGATTTTTCTAACAGCAACTTGAGTGTAAGATATTTTTAATTAAATAATTGATCTTTCGATTACCACTAGAAAACTCCTAGTAATAAGTTTATTATAAATTTTTTTTAAATTCAATTATTTTCCAAATTTGGCAATTAGAATTCTTCAAAAATACGATTATACTTGAAAATAATTTTTTAAAGTAAATAAATAAAATTTATTAAAATATTAAATTTATTTCAATGAAATTTGATAAAATTTGCAATTGTTTCAATTTTTTTTAAATTATTTTTGGAAATACAAATATTTTTAAAAAATTTTAATTACACTTTTTTCAAGAAACAATTTTTCGGAATATCTGAATTAAATTATTAAAAACTTCAATACTTTTTGTTAAACAAAAAATTAAAAACTTATTTTTATTTAATTTTCGACAAGAATTAAAATTTCATCCTAATTTCAATGAAAAACCTCATGAAATTTAATTATTTCTAAAAATTGTAACTTTAATTCTTCCAACATTCAATTATTTTTTTTAGAATTTTTGAATTAAATTATTCAAAACTTAAAGAATTTTAAAAAAAATAATGTAATTAATAATTTTTTAAAATAAAAATTTAAATATTTTTATACTTTTGCTTCCCTTAAATTTTCAAAGAAATTAATTTAAAAACCTTTAAAAATATAATTAATTCCTAAAATTTATGCTAGAACGCTTTAAATATTCAATTATTTTCTGAAATTTTAATTGAAATTTATTTTAAATAATTTATTTTAAATAAATAATTTTATTTTAAATAAATTCCTATCAGAATTTTTCAAAAACCTAATTTTTTCAGAATTTACAAATTAAATCTTTCAAATTTCAATCATTTTTGAGAAATAAATATTTAAATAGGTACTTATTGCTTTTTAATTGCTTAAAATTTCGAAATACTTTCAATGTAAAACCATTGGAAAAATTTTTTATGAAAATTTAAACTGCAAGTCAAGAAAACACTAACTTTACGTGAGGATAAATTATGTCCATTATTATAATATACCTAATATAATTTTAATTCTTGTTGAAAAATAAATAAGGATAAGTAGGTTAAATATTTATTTAACAAAAATTATTCAATTATGAATAATGTAATTTAGAAATTCTACAAAAATTAGTCTTTTGAAAAATTGTAATTAAAATTTTTTAAATATAGTTAAATTCTCGTCAAAATATTTAATTGAAATAAATTTTATATTTTAAGAATTTTATTTTTTCCCTTTTGAAAATTGTTTTGAAAAATAATTCTATTTTTGAAGAACTCTAACTAAAAATAATTGAATTTCATAAAAAATTTAGAATTAAAGTTATTACCAGTATATGAAATAAAAAGTGAATAAATTATTTTTGGAACTTAGGAAAAATACAAAATCCAATTTTTGTGAATTTTGTAAATCGATTAAAAGGATTTTTTTAGTCGCCAAATTTAATTTTTCGATTGCTACTTTTTTTAATACTTTTTTCATTCTTAAAGCTCCTTTTTGTTACTTTTTGAAAATTATTTATTGAGTGCGAAGCCTGATAATATTAATAAATATGGATTTATTAATTACTGATAATCAATTAATTATTATTAACGGTTTATTTTTAAATAATTAATTAATTATTATTAATTGTTTATTTTTATTAATTAATTAATACTATTAACTAATTATTATTTATAATCTAATTTTATAATTAATTACTAATACTAATCCTAATTATTATTTAATATTAATTAATTTTAGTAACTATTTAATTATTTAAAATGAAAATGAATTAATTGATTTCAGATAATCGATTTAAAAAAAGTAAAGCGAGGGAGATATTTGAATATTGTGGGATAATATAATGGGTTATGTACTTGGGTGTGATGAGATCAATAGCACTTTCATCCAGCCATTGAATGAGGCGCATCACGTCCTGTGGATCATCCGGTGAATCGTAGACTCGTTCTCCAAGCTCATCCTGATCCACGTGACAAAATGCCGTGCTCAAATGAACAAAAGCCACGAGATTCCTGATCCCTTTGCTCAACTCGAGAATCCTTTTGGTTCCTACCTTGAAAACGAAACGGAATCTCCTTCAGATTTCTATATTAGAGAATCAAATTATATCTGAATTCGATTTTCAATTACTCTAATTTTTTTTCATTTCATTTTTTTTATTTTTTATTTCTCTTATTAGTTTTGTTTGTTTTGTTTTTTATTTCTGGTAATTATTACTTTTTTTTGTTATTTCTGTTCATTAGTTGTTTTAATTTTATTTCTGCATTAATTACTGGTTATTTTGTTTTTTATTTCTGTTTATTATTAGTTTTGTGTGTTTTGTTTTTTATTTTTGTTTATTATTAGTTTTGTGTGTTTTGTTGTTAATTCTGGTTATTATTAGTTTTGCGTGTTTAGTTTTTTATTTCTGTTTATTATTAGTTTTGTGTGTTTTGTTTTTACTACTGTTTATTATTAGTTTTGTTATTTATCTTTCATTATTTTTGTTTCTATTTATCTAATTTTTTACAATTTTTGTTTTATTCTTTCTTTTTATTTTAATTTTTTAATTTTTATTGTTTTGTGTTTTTTCTTTTTGTTTTGTTTTCGCTTTTCGTTTTTTTGTCTTTTCGTTTTGTATTTTTCCTCTTCGTCATGTTTTCTTTCTTTTCTTGTCTTTTTTTCTTTTTGTTTTGTTTTTTTTTCGTTTCTGTCTGTTTCGTTTTTTTTCTTTTTGTCTGTTTGGTTTTTCTTCTTCTGTCAAGCGGTAAATTTAGTTTTCCATTTACTGAGACAAGAAAAAAAATAGTTCACCGTATTCATTTCGATGGCGTCCTTCAATTTTGCCTCCAATCTGAGTGTAGCCGCAAAATGAAATATAATTTGAACTTCTTCTCGAACAGTTTCAATTTGCTCGTCATTTAAACCAAAATTTTCCTGCATCACATCGCCTTGTAGTGGTATTACTTTCTTGATGACATTTGGTTTTTGCTTTCGAATTCTATTAAACATCTGACGAAAGAAAGAATATATTCTTTTGATGAATTTGTAATTTTAAAAAAAGTTTTCTTATTTCTTCAATATCTAACTTACAGGTAATTTGAACATTTCATTTATTCGCAATTCAGCACTTCTGCCTCTCTTTGGTCTCAATAATAAATAAATTTTATTAAGATCACTACAACTATAAAGTAACTTTTCAACCAGTACTTTTCCCATGAGCCCCGTACCACCGGTAATGAAAATTGTTTTTCCCTTATAAAAGTTTTGTATATCACTCAGTTCGTCCATTTTATCTGCAACATAAATATATTATAATATAATTTTATTGTGGGATTCAAGAAATGCGAAAAAAAATTAACTTTTTCTTTCTTTTTTGCAGGCAAATTATTTCAAATGATTGCTAAATGGTTGTTACGAAAGAAAGGAAGATTTTTATGCTGAACGGATGATCACTTTTTAATTAGCAGACCTCGGATTGACCTTAAGCAGCAAAAAAAGTTGCTTTTGACGATTAAAGACATAAAAAATCAAAAAAGTCGTTTATTTCAATCAGTGTTGTCACAAAAATTTCATTTTTTATTTCTCAAACTTCATTTTATTTCTCACTGATTTCTAAATTTAGTTATTCAATTATAACTTCAGTAATTTTGTTAAATGAATATTTAAATAGGGGAATGTAGTCAAGGTTGGTCTACTGTCTAGGTAGGCCATCGCGATTTTTTGGACAAGTTCACTAGCGCCACCTACGCGCATGCTTGTCGAAGCTTGTCTTAGTGTAACCTAACTTTTTGTTCAATTACATTTTCGGAGAATCGAAAATTGTTTTTTCTGTGACGTTGGTACAAAAAAAGCTCAAAAAAAGTTTTGTGCATAATGTGAAAAACCATTAATAAAAGATAAAAAACAAATTGAATCGTCAAGGCAAGTATGCAGAAAATTTGTGGGACTCATGGTTGAAAGAAAAACAAAGTGAAAAATCGAATCCCGAAACGTATTTCTTTATGGTTACAACAATTCGGTAATGTTACTTACTGTCAAGGTCGGCCACTATGTGTTTAAAATGCGCAAAGATGAGGATGAGCTACTTCATTTGCAGAAACTGCAATTCTGTATAACTCATAATATAATTGATCATCTTATTAATATTTTTATTTAATTTTATTAATGTTTCAGTGAAAAATTTTTTTTTATTTATATTTATTTTTTTATATTGTTTATTGTTATTATTTTGTTATTTCATTAAGTTACAAACTGTAAACAATAAAGAATCAATTTTCCGTAACTTCAAACATGTTATTTTATTTTTTAACGATTAATGCCCTTTGAATTTTAAACATGGCCGACCTTGACTGTAATGGCCAACCTAGACTACAAATTTTTTTTTTTTTTAAATCTTTATAACTTTTTCATTTTAAAACCAATCAATTTACTTTGTACAGAAAAGATGTTCCTATTAAACAGGACTTTCCAACCATATACTTCAATTGTCCAAATTCATTTTTAAAAAAAAGTTATAAACAAAAGTCAAAAAGGTGGCCGACCTAGACTATGTTCCCCTACTTATTTACTTTTTCACTGGAATTACGAATTTTTAAATTTCAATTTTAAACCTTCGTAAATTTAATTATTTTCAAAATTCAATTATTTTTTCGAATTTTTAACTAAACTTCTTCTCTAAATCAATTAGTCCTATAAATAAATTTAAAAACAAGTCAATAATTTTGACAATGTTTTTTCAAGAGTTTAAGTAATTAAATGAAAAGATTTACTTAAAATTCGTCTAAAATTAAATTGTTTTCAACTTAATATTACAAAATTTTTAATTTTCGAAAGTTTTTTAAATTAAATAATATTTATTCAAAAATGTAACTAATTAAGAAAAATTGAATTGAATTCTTCAAAACACTAAATTCTGTACAATTTCTAATTAAAACTAAAAAAAAAACAAATTTGCAAAAGTTTCAATTTTCGAAACATTTTGAAATTGAATTATTTGTAATAATTTTTACTGTGTTTATATTTCAATTATTTTTGAGAATTTTTAACTAAAATTCTTCTCTAAATCAATTATTTATTTTTAATAATTTCATAAATAATAATATTCTTAGCAGGAATTCAATTATTTTCTTAAATAATAAAATTATTTGCAGAGGTATAATTATTTTTTAAGTATTTTAATAAAATTTATGAAAGGAATTCAAGTATTTTAATACAAAAATTCAATTTTTTATTAATTGAAATTAAGTATTTTTAAAAAAAAATTATAATTACAAAAATTCCAGAAATTAGTTTTTTTTTAAATTTTTTGAAAGTAATTAAATTTTTTAAGAGAATTTTAGAACAATTTAAAAAACTAATCAATTTTTTGAAGACTTTTAAAAATATTAAAAGCATTGAAAATATTTTTGAAATATTGAAATTATTATTTAACTGAACTGGAACTTATTTAGAGAATAATTGTTTCTTAATAATTGAAAAAAAAATAAAATTTTAACGTTGGTGAAATTTATAATGTTTATAATCAACCATTTAGACAGGAATTCAATTATTTTGATAAATAATAGAATTCTTCGGAGAAATTCAATTATTTTGATAAATAATAGAATTCTTCGGAGAAATTCAATAATTTTCAATACTTTTAATAAAATTCTTCACACGGATTCAATTACATTAATAAAAAATAAAATTCTTCGCAGAAATTCAATTATTTTCGAAAAATTGAAATAGCAATTCTTATAAAATATTTCATTTCAAAAGATTTAAAATTTGAAATTTTTTTCAAAATCTATAATTTCCTATTGAGAATATAATCAATCATTTAGAAGAAAATTTTTTTCTATTTACATTTTTAATATTTTTATAAATTTTTCCTTAAAAAATGTTATTCATACTTTATTGATTAATTATTTCAATGAAACATATTTGTTAACAATTTTTTTTTCAATTGTTGATGGCATAAATGTTGTGAAATTTACTGAAATAAATTTTGAAAGAGTTACTTTTGCAATGTTTATAAATATTATAGATAGTTGAATTTCAGGTTTTAAAATTAGATATTTTTAAAAATTTTCATTTCTGTGGAAAAATAGTAAATTAATAATGAATTAATGATTAATTATTTATTTAAAAAAAATAAATTATATTAATGTTTCGAATAATTTTACTAATTGTGAGGATATTCAGAAATAAATGTATTAGAAACATTTTTTAGTGTATCTATAATCATTTTTAGAGTCATTTCCAAATTAAATTGTAAGTTTTGTTTCCAAACATAAATTATTTTTTTATATTATTTATTTTGTTTAGGTATATAAAATTAAATTACAATTATTTTATTACAGTATTTGAAAGAAAAGTGGGAATGGTCGCATTTTTTAAAAATAAATCCGCATTTTTTTAAAAAATAATAGAGTCGAAAAATTTCGCCGTCGTTGGGAAATAATTCGAATAAATTCGCCTTTCTTCAAAAATAATCGGAAAAAGTCGAAAAAAAGTCGCATACGATTCGTCGCCTAAATATTAGTGAAGCAAAATTGAAGTTTCGATCGTTTCTCTTAACTATATAGACGTATATATTTTAAAATTGTGTAAATTTTCCATCGAAGAACGAGTTTATTTCGAAGTGACCGCTTCTGATGTGCAGAGGTAGTGCAGTTATTTACTATATGTGTATTTCTCCTGGGACAAGGTGTTGTATAAGAATGGTCAAACTATATATATAACTTCATTCCATCCAGTGTAGAAATCGGTGAAAGGCTGATTACAGTAAATGGAAGTTTGCACTTGTTGCACTATTTTTCATTACTACAAAAGGGACGCTTTAATTTCTATAATTCGATAACAATAATTAGTATATATTTTATCTCGCCATCTAAATGAAGTAATTCGTCTGTAATTTTTTTTCTCCCTCATATACTATATAATTTACACAATTACTCAATTCTGTCAGTTGAGTTCTGAATTCATAATTTATTGCCAAAAGAAAAACGATTTATTTATTTCTTTATTTTTTTATTTTTTTATTTTTGGAAAAAGAAAATATTTTTTTTGTTCAAACTGTTTTTGTTCTCAATTTTTTCCTTTCGTAGAGAACTCGACGAAAAAACAATTTATTTATTTATTTTCTTTTATGTTATTAATTTTTTACTTTAGAGAAAAAATATTTTTTTGCTCAAACTGTTTTTTTTTCTTTTGAAATTTTTTCCTTCATAGAGAACAATTGGAAATTTTTTTTCTATTCTCCTTTTCAATTACTAAAGTATAATAATTATAGTAATAAGAAATTACTGTCTGGAAATTTATATCTCAAAACTCAATGATTTCTATTGTCTGGATAAATTTTTCTATTGTGCTATTAATAGAAAATTAATAATTTAAGTATAAGTGATGGAAAAAAAGTGGACAGTAGTAATAGTAATAAAGACTTTAATATTCTCTACTTTCATTCAGAGCTATAATCTGTGAGTAACATGCATTTGAATATTGTGTGTGAGACATTTATCGCATCTGTGTGAAAGTTGAGAACGGTCATGGTCAAACGACTTTATTTTTATGCAAACTATATAGTAGAACAATCAAGATTTTAAGAAATTGTCCGTTTTTCATAATTTCTAAAAAGAAGAAGAAAAAAATTGACAATTAGAGTAAATCTTTTTTTGTTTGTTTTACAAATCTATATTAATAATCGAGTTGTATTTACGTAATCTGTTCGCAGTTTGAAGTTAGTTGTTTGCTTTTTTCTTTCCAAACTTTTTAAATAATTTTCCTTTTTAAATTTAAAAAATTTTTAAATTACCTACTGTACTGAAAATTATTGAATTCTTGCAAAATATTTATCAAAAAATTTGAAAATAATTGAATTAATTTCAACAATTTTATCAACAATTTTTTCAATAATTGAATTCTTTCGAGAAAATATAATTAAAATTGTATTGAAAATAATTTCATTCATGGCAAGATTTTTATTAAAATTCTTTAAAATAATTGAATTGTTTTGAAGAGTTTATTTCAATTTTCTTGAAAGCAATGGAACTCCATATTTTTTAAAATAATTTTTACTGAAAATTTTGAAAGTAATTGAGTTTTATTAAGATTTTCTTTTAAGTTTTTAAAATAATAATAATTATTATAAATAATAATTTATTATTAATTGAAACTAATAATTTTCCTATTAAATTATAACAAAATTATTCATAGAAAATTAAATTCTTATATACAATTTTATTAGAGTTTTTGTAAATAATTACATTTTTTTTTAAGAATTTCATTAAATTTCGTAAAAATAATGTAATTTTTTAAAATAATTTTAATTGTAAATTTTGAAAATAATTGAAATTTACAAAGAATTTTATTAAAGACTTTTGAGAACAATTGAATTGTTTACAAAAATTTTATTACAATTCTTAAAAATAATTGAACCTGTTAGAGAAATTTTATTAAAATTATCTTGAAAATAATTGAATTTTTTCCTAGTTATTAAAATTGTATTGAAAATAATTGTATTTTTCAGAAGAATTTTATTATTTACAAAAATAATTGAATTCTTGCAGAGGATTTTACAATTTATAAAAATAATTGAATTGTTTTGAAGAATCTTATAAGAATTGATGAAAATAATTGAATTTTTATTAAAACTTTTTAAAATAATTGAATTTAAATTTATATTTTTAAAAATAATTGTATTCTTTCGAGAAATTTTATTAAAATTGTATTGAAAGTAATTGAATTCTTCCGAAACATTTTATTATTTATGAAAATAATTGAATTCCTTTAAAGAATTTTATTATTTATGAAAATATTTTAATCTTGAGAAGAATTTTATTATTTATGAAAATTTTGGAATTCTTGCTGAGTATTTTACAATTTATAAAAATAATTGAATTGTTTCGAAGAATTTTATCTGCATTTTTGAAAATAATTGAATTTTTTGAAGAAATTTGATTAAAAGTTTTGAAAATAATGATTTTTTTAAAAGAATTTCATCAAAATTGTCGAAAATAATTGAATTTATATTAAAATAAATAAATTATATTTATTATGAGAGTAATGAAATTCTTGAAAAAAATGTTATTAAAATTTTTGAATAATAATAAACAAAAATATTGAATTTGGGTTCCAGGTATAAAGAAAAAGTACGGATAATCGAGGTGCAAAATTTTTTCAATTTTTTAATATTTTTCACAAATTCTTTTGAAACAAATTCAATTGCAATTTTTAGAAATAATCAATTACTTATTTTCGTATATATTATATGTAAATAATTCAATTCTCATACAAATTTTTGATAAGAATTGATTTGAAAAAGAATTTCAGTTTTAATTTTAGAAAATATTTCAAGAATTGCAATTCTAATTTTACTTAAATTTTAAAAGCAAGTTTTACATTGAAAGTATTTTGAAATTATAATTCCTTGGTGACAATTGAACAACAATAAGTATTTAAATATTTATTAAACAAAAATTAGTCAAATTTGACAAATTTTATTAGGAAATTCTGAAAAAATAGTTTTTAAAAAATCGTAATTAAAATTTTTGAAAAATATTTGAATTTTCGAAAATAATTTTTAAAAATTGAAAAAACAAGAAATTTTCTTAAATTTTATTGAAATAAATTTTATATTTCAAACAATTATATTTTCTCGATTTAAAAAATTATTTTTTACGTATTTTTGTATTTTTTGAAAAATTGTAACTAAAAATTTGGAAAATAATTAAAATTTTACAAAAGTTTTTGTATTTAAATACCTAATAAGTTTTTAAATATTTGTTAAACAAAAATTATGGAATTTTTAAATGATTTAATGTAGATATTTAAAAGAATTATGTTTTTGAAAAATTGTAATTAAAATTTTTTTTTGATGATAATTGAAGTCCGTAAAATAATTTTCAAAAATTGAAATAATTGGAAATTTTATTAAATTCAATTGGCATGAACTTCATTTTTTTACTTTTAAAACTTATTTTCAAAAATCGTATTTTTGACGAATTGTAATTGAAAATTTGGAAAATAATTGAATTTAACAAGAATTTAGAATTGAACTTATTACCAGGATGAGGAAAGAAGTTAATATTCTCTTTGGAAATCAGGGAAATACACAATTAAATTTTTTTTCAGTCAGTTACTTTTTGCTTCTTATTTTTTTATTAATTAACGAATTTTTGAACTTTTTTGAAGAACGGTAGTAAAAATCCTAAAGTATTACTGAGTGAAATGTTCTTTTTTCGACAAAAAAATAGTAAAAATACATAAATATTTCGGAGTAAAATATTCTTTTTTCGAAAAAATAGTAATAATTCAAAAATATTACTAAGTTAAATTTTCTTTTTCCTTTTTTTGAAAAACAATATCAAAAAGACTAAAATATGACTAGTGAAATTTTCTTTTCCTTTTTTTTTATTTAATATTATGGAAGTACGGAAGTGTTTTTTTTTTTCTTAAAAGAAATTGAACGTAATTAACTTGATACGATTTAATTTCATAAGGCAGATTTATGTTAATAAGAAACTCTCTTGTAATATTATCGAGAATGTGAAATGACAAGTCTAACTCGTAAAACTAAACGTATTAGATGTGCGAAAAGGATTTGATATAGGTTCAACGCGAGTAAATCAAACTTACACAACATAGTGACTAGTAAAAAAAAAAAAAGAAAATGAAAAAGAAAAAGACGAAAAACAGTAGTTCCTTTACGGACTTTCAATCAATTACCGCACTTTGTAAACTTTTTTCTTCTAAAACATTAACTTCAACATATTTCTCTTATAGAAAATCGCGCACTCAGGTCATTAAATTTTTGTTGCCTCACACATGTTATTTATATGTTTTTTCTGATGATATAAAACTATATATCTGTGTATATATTTAATATACAATGAAACTTTTATTTATTATTAATAATTCACTGATTCAGTAATTAGCTAATTAATTATTATTATTTATTATTTTCAACAGTAATTTTGAATATAAATAAAAGAATTTAAAAAAGAATTTTTTCTATAATAAAATTATTCAAAATAATAAATTTAATTATGTTAAAGAATTTTAATATAATTCTACTGAGAAATTCAATCATTTATTTTATTTTTAATACAATTTCAATTAAAATTTCTAAAAAAAATTGTTACAAAATTAAATAAAATTTTTCGCAAGACATCAATAATTTTCATAAATAATAAAATTTTCAGAGGAAATTCAATTACTTTTGTAAATAATAACATTTTTAGTGAGAATTCAATTATTTTTTATTTATTAATACAATTTTAATAACATTTCTTGAAAAAATTCAATTATTTCTAAAAAAAAAAAATAAATAAAAACCTTCTTTTCGTAAGAATTCGATTATTTTCAAAAATTGTAATAAAAATTTGTAGCTAAAGTTCAGTTATTTTTAATAAAATTTTTCACAGGAATTCAATTATTTTCAATACGATTAAATTATTTTTGAAAATTTGATAAAATTCTTTGCAAGAATTTAACTATTTTTATAAATAATAAAATCTTCAACAAGATTTCAATTAATTTTATAAAATTTTTAGGAAGAGTTCAATTATTTTTATAAATAATAAAATCTTCAACTGGATTTTAATTATTTTAATTATACAATTTTTATAAAATTTCAGGAATTAATTACATTTTAAAACATTCTGTTACAATTCAATTCTTTATAAGAATTGACTTATTTTTAAACCAATCTTAATAAAATTCCTTTGAGAGAATTAAATTATTTAAAAATTTTTTAAACAATTCTAAGTAAAAATTCAATTACTTAAAAAAAATGTTTTAAAAAGTATTCGCAAGAATTCAATTATTTTCATAAATAATAAAATACTTTACAGTAAATCAATTATTTTTAATATGATTCAATTATTTTCGAAAATTCAATAAAATTCTTTGAATAGATTTTTTGCCTTTTAATCAATAAATTTCACTAATTACTAATAGTTAATTTAACTAATAAATTACTATTTATTAGTATCATTTATTTGTTCAATAGCAAAAAGTCAGTCACTAATTCAAATTTAGTAAACATTTTTATATTAGAGAAAATGAATTACTATTATTTATTATTTTGAAAAATTTAAATAAAATACTTCTGGATAATTTAATTATTTCCAAAAAATTTAGTTAAAATTCTTTTAAAATTTTCCATTAACTTAGAAGATATAGATATTTATTTTGATATTCTTTTGCAATGTTTTGTTTATGTTTGTAATTTTTTTTCTTTTGATGTCCACTGTTTTGATTTCCTGTTTTTGGGATGTAATGTGAATGACAATAGAGCGTGAAACTATAAGGATAAAAATTACATGCCTGTCATTTCCGAAGACACGGTTAAATTAATATCCTTGCGTTTCTTAATGACCGTCCAAGTCAAGGATCCAAGTTTTAGAAAACGGTTATGCACACTCACTGAACTGTGAGCACTAACTTACTGAGCTCTAAAAGTAGTCCGTGCGGAGTTAGTAAAACACGAGTACAGTAGTACCTCCCCCCTTTTACTTTCAATCTTGTTTTTTAATTCTTTATTTTGATTTTGATTTCACCTTCTCTTTTCATAACATGAATGATCGACTCTCAATCAATTTAATCAACTTTAAATAGTCTATATATAAATAAACAAAATTTTCCATCACAAAGTATCATTATTTATATACTCGTTTCGTTTAAATGAGAAAAAAATTTGCATATTCTTCTCAAATACGGTTTATTCTTCACTTTTTTGTATACTAGACATTTCATGACTTGCGTAATCCAATTATAATAAAAAAAAGATTTAATGAATCTTTATTACATTCATTGAACAGTTTGTTAAATTTAAGAAGAATGCTTGACTTGAAAAAAAACATTAATTAAAGAACCTGATTTACAAGATGATTTTCAAGAATTTTTTTCTAATTTATTAATTACTAACGTCAACAGGGACTATTTTGTGCACAAAAAGCTATTTTTGACTCAACGATTTACTACAACTAGCAACAATTCGCGCAATTTTTTACTATCTTTCTTAAAAAAAATTAGCAATTTTAAAAATAATAGAATATAAAAATTTTCTAATCTAAATTTTGGTTGAAAAAACTAAAAAAAAATTCAATTTTGGAGAAATTACAAATAATTGCAGAAATTCAATTATTTTCAAACAAAAATTAAAATTCTTCTTAAAAATTTCAACTTTTTTTCAATTTTTCTGGTAAAAATCCCAATTATTTTTATAAATAACAAAATTCTTCTCCAAAGTTCAATTATTTCCATAAATGCTCAAAAAAATTCTTGTCCTAATTTCAATTACCTATTATCAAAATTTTTTTTCAAATTTCTACTATTTTAATAAAATTTCCCAAAAAGAATTCAATTATTTAAAAAAATTTTTTAATAAAATTGTATGCAAAGATTTAATTATTTTCATAAATAATAAAAATTTCACAAAAATTCAATTATTTTCATAAATAATAAAAATTTCTTAAGGAATTCAATATTATTTTCATAAAAAATAATTTGAAATTCTAGAAAATGATAATTGAATTAAAATGATGAAAATAAGATTAAAAATAGAAATTGTGCAAATATTTTTCTTCTTTTTCTAAAACAAAATAATAATTTTGTTAAAAAAATTGTGATTCATTAACAAAAATAATGCAAAATAAATAAATTTTCTACTTCTTAATCATAATTGTTTAACAATTTTCTAATTTTGTTTAGAAGTAAAGAACAAAAATCTGCATAATTTCAATTTGACAAAACATAAAATTTCACAAAATTTTAGTATTTTAATGAAAAGAAGTGCAAAAAATTCTGATAATTTCTATTTGTCATTACAATTCTTAATTAATTAATGTTATAATTTTTCTTTTCAAATATTTTCAATTTTAAAATTAATGTATTGAAAATCATCAAATTGTTGTAAAGAATTTTATCAAAAAATCTGATAATAATAGAATTCCTTCAAAGAATTTTATTATTTAGGAAAATAACTGAATTCTCGCAAAGAATTTTATTAATTTTTAAAAATCCTAATTAAATTCTATTGCAGAATTTCTTTGAATTTTTTTTTTAACTATTGGAGTTTCTTTAATAATTTTAATTGACAATTTTGAAAGCATTTGAATTTTATGAAGAAAAATTTTATTAAAAGTGAATTGAAAATAATTCAATTCTTGCGAAGAATTTGACTATTTATAAAAATAGTTGAATTTATTGTTTCGAAGAATTTATTAAAATTTTAGGACATAATTGAAATTCGTGGAAATATTCAAAAATATTTGAATTCATCCGAGGAATTCAATTAAAATTGTTTTGAAAATAATTGAATTTTTGCAAAGGATTTTACTATTTATATATAAAAATTTTATATAAAAATATTTAATATTAATATTTTTTAATATAAATATTAATAATTAATTAATAATTAATTAATATTTTTATATAAAATTTTATTATTTAGAAAAAAATTTAATTTTTTCGAAATGTATAACATTTTTTTTAAAAATTAAATTCTCCCGACGTATTCAATTAAAATTGTTTTGAAAATCATTGAATTTTCGTAAAAGATTTTAATATAATTAAAAAAATAATTGAATTGTTTAAAAGGATTTATTAAAATTTTAGAAAATAATTGAATTTTTTCGTAAAATTTTATTAAAATTTTTGAAAATATGAACAGTAATCATTAATTTTGTACTTAATAAGTGAATTTTTTAAATTTTGATTGTGAAATTAATTAAAAAATTTATATTTGAAAATAAAAAATTTTCTAATTTGCATAACAATAATTAAAAAATAATTTTTAGAAAATTCGCATCACTTTTGTTCTAATTAGTTCAAATTTTTACTAATTCCAATTTGTTTTGTAATAATATTATTGCAAAAAAATTCATAAATTGATTTATTTTTCACTATTTTATAGGATGTGAAATTTTTTTTTTTTCAAATTTTTTCGACGAATTTAATCAAAATGTTATTTTGTTCAATTGTTGTTATAGAAAGAATTTAAAATTAAATTTAATATTTTCTTTTTTCTTAAGTCTGTTAAGTTGGACATCAAAATTCATAATTATCTTATAAATTCTAGAAATTGAATATTCTTCAGGTACTTTTGATAAAATTCCCTGACAAAATAAAACTATTTTATAAAAGATCGTTCAATCTTTTTTAATGAAATATAATTAATAAGTCTTAAAATAAATATTTCTATTTTTTCTTACAAAATAATTAGTGTTTTTAACAAAAAATTTCAAAACTTCCGGTCATGATAAAAATTTACTGTCATTCCCCGGTTTTTCCCGGTCCAAATAAATTCCCTGTAATTTCCCGGTTTTCCCAGTGAAGCGGCCACTTTGTATTTGTTTCATTAATTTTTCCGGCTTTAATCAATTTTTTTCATTAATAAAAAATATTTAAAATAATTAAACTCTTTCCAAGAATTTTAATAATATTTTTAAGAATTATTGCATTTATCAAGCAATTCATTTAAAATTATATTAAAAATATTTAAAATTCTATGAAGATTTCTATTAATTAGGAAAAATAATTGAATTCTTGCAACGTATTTCATTAAACTTTTAAAAAATAACTCAATTCCTCAGAAGAATTTTATTATTTATAAAAATAAATGAATTCTTGTGAAGGACTTTATTAAATTTTTTTAAATAATTGAATTCTTGTGAAGAATTTTACAAACAAATTTTTTTTTATTTAAAATTTAAAAAATTTTAAATAATTTATTTTTTTTGAAAAATGTTATCTAAATTGTGTTTTAAATAATTGTATTCCTATGAAAATTTTATTATTTATGAAAACAATTGAATGTTTGCAAAGAATTTTATACATTTTTTTTGGAATAATTCGATTTTTTTGGGAAATTTTGTATTATGATTTACAAAAATTTTTCTATTTAAATAATTCAATTCTCGTTGTTGAATTCTGATAGAAGTTGATTTTGTTTTTCAAACGAAATTTCAGTTAAAATTGTAGAAAATAATTGAATATTTAAAGCGTTATAACAAGCATTTTAGGAATTAATTAAATTTCATGAGATTTTTCATTGAAATTATTAAAAATTTTAATTTCTGTGGAAAAATAAACAAGAATAAGTTTTTAAATAAATAATTTTATATTTTAATAAATTTTGTTAGTTTACTTTTAAAAATTATTTTGAAACATTAATCGTATTTTTGAAGAATTCTAATTGAAAATTTGAAAAATAATTGAATTTAGAAAAAGTTTAGAATAAACTTTTTACCAGGATAGTTCCAGTGGTACTCGAGTACCACTGGAAAGTTGAATTATTTAATCAAAAATATTCCAGTTCCTGTTAGAAATATCTTGGCGATTTCTATACGAGTTGTTTAAATAATAATTAAATTTAAAGAAAAACTTTTAGAAAAATTGTGTTTTAAAAAATGAAGAATTTTTATTAAATTTGAAAAAGTAAATTGTTTAAAGTAATAATGGCAATGAAAATTTCACGCGCGCTTGAGCGCGTGTATGTTTTGCTAGTTAGGAAAAGAAATAAATTTTCGCGTCGAACATAAAAATAAAACAAAAGCCTACACAATATACGACTAACTTTAGATAGACATAGAGATTTGGATATCTAGAAACACCACGATCATTATATTTAATAATAAAATAATAAAATATGATATAAAATTATAAATTAAAATCATTCGATCATTGCTGACATGAAGTTTTTAGTTTCTAACTAATTATTAGATATGTGCAATTCTTACAACAATAAACGAAAGTTAATTAAATACGTTTGTAAATAAATTTCTTTTTGTTACTAAATCGTTTTCTAGTGGAGAAAAACGGAGTTGCAGAACAGAAATAATTTAACGGTCGATCAAAAGAATATGTTAACAAGTATAGGGAAATAATTTAAATCTCAGACAGAAATATTGTTATTTTTGCTATTACATTTTTCAAAACTTGGTGAAAGAATGATTTCTAAGGATAAAAGAAATTTATTTTACATTTTTTAATAAAACATTTTTTTGTACAATAGATATCAGTTCAAGTGACAAAAAAATTTTTTTTTTTACAAAATTTTCTATGATTTTTAATTTAATTAATTTAATGTAATTTTTCTAAATTGCAGGCCTCGGATAAAGTGACTTTTTCTGACTGTTTGCAAGAAAGACGACTTTTCTCTCGAGTTATTTTTGAAAAATTGGACTTTTTTTGGACTTCTCTTCCAAATATGGCAACAAAATTCAACTTTTTTTGGTATGAAAAAAATTTATTTTTATACTGTGAAAAATAAGTGTAGTCAAATCTTTCAAAATTTGAAAAAATTTTGAATTTTTCGGGAAAATTTTTATTAAAATTGAATTGAAAATAATTTAAATCTTTCGAAATATTTAATTTTAATTTTTGAAAATTATCGAGAAATTTAATTCAAATTTTATAAAAAAAAAATTGGATTCTTATAAATAATTTCTTCAAACTTTATGAAAACAATTAAATTTTTTCGAAATATTTTACTACATATTTACGAAAAAAATTGATTTATTTACAAGAATTTTATTATTATTCATCAGAGTAATTGAATTCTTGTGAAGGATTTTATTAAAATACTTGAAAATAATTGAATTCTTGTAAAGAATGTAATTAACATATTTGAAAATAATTGAATTGTTATGAAATATTTTATTAAAATTTTTAAAAATAATTGAGGAATTTAATTCGAACTTTATCGAAAATAATTGAATTCTTATAAATAATTTCTTCAAACTTTTTGAAAAACAATTAAATTCTTTTGAAATATTTTACTATTTACGAAAATACCTAATTGATTTGTTTACAAGAAGAAGAATTTAATTAACATATTTGAAAATAATTAAATTGTTATATAAAGAAATTTAATCAAATATTCGAAAGTAATTGAATATTTATACAGAAATTTATTAAATTTTTGAAAAGTAATTGAATTGTTGTAAAGAATTTTATTAAAATTTTTGAAAATAATTGGATTTTTTTTCGAGAAATGTTATTAAAATTAAATTGAAAATAATTGGAAGTTAAAAAATTTTTTTTTAATAATCGCCGAATTTAATTATAACATTTTATTAAAAAGAATCAAATTCTCAGAGTTTTATCAAAATTTTGAAAACAATTACATTCTTTCAGAAAATCTTATTATTTATTAAAATAATTATATTTTGTCGAAGAATCTTATTATATTGATAAAAATAATTGAACTGTTTCGAAGAATTTTATTATTGATAAAAATGATTTATTTGTTTTGAATAATTTTCATTAAAATTCATCGGTTATAATTGAATTCTTATAAAGAATTTTATTGAAATATTTGGAAATAATTGAATTTGTTATAAAGAAATTACAAAAAATTTTTGAAAATATGTAATTGAATTCATTCGAGAAATTTTATTAAAATTACATTGAAAATAAATTGAATTGTTTCGAAGAATGTTATTAAAATTTTTTTGAATTATTTTACAAATTTCAATTATTTGAAATTTATTAATTACATATAAATAATATTGAAAAATTTATTTTCTTTCAAAAATTATTTTTAATAATTGAATCACTATAAAGTTAATTATTAAATTTTTGAATGGTAATTGAATCGTTATAAAGAATCTTATTAAAATTTTTGAAAATAATTGAATTTTTTCGGGAAATGTTATTGAAGTTAAATTGAAAATGCTTGAAATCTTTCGAAATATTTTATTAAAATTTTTGAAAATAATTATGGAATTCAATTTAAATTTTATCGAAAATAAATGACTTCTCATAAATAATTTTTACAAACTTTTTGAAGAACAATTAAATTCTTTCGAAATACTTTACTGTTTATGAAAATAATTGATTTTATTATTCATAAGAATAATTGAATTCTTGTGTAGGATTTTATTAAAATATTCAAAATAATTGAATTCTTATATGAATGATTTTATTAAACTAATTTATTAAATTCTTGTGAAGGATTTTATTAAAATATTCAAAATAATTGAATTCTTATAAATGATTTTATTAAGCTATTTGAAAATAATTGAATTGTTATAAAGAAATTTAAAAAGAATTTGAAAATATTCAATAAATATTTAAAATAATCGAATAAATAATAGATAATTTGAAAATAATTGAATTTTTTATAAAGAAGTTTATTAAAAATTTTGAAAATATTCAATAAATATTCAAAATAATTGAATTCTTATGAATGATTTTATTAAAATATTTGAAAATAATTGAATTGTTATAAAGAATTTTATTGAAATATTTGAAAATAATTGAATTTGTTATAAAGAAATTTATTAAAATTTTTGAAAATATGTAATTGAATTTATTCGAGAAATTTGATTAAAATTTTTTGAACATTATATATTGAAAATAAATTGAATTGTTTCGAAGAATTTGATTAAAATTTCCTTTGCAAAATATAATTGAATTCTCATATAAAGAATTTTATTAAATTTTTTGGAGAACATTTGAATACAAAATGAATTTTTTCTGACAACATTGAGTAATACTTTATAATTTTATAATAATAATAATGTTTAATTGAAAGAATATTTAATTCTTTTAACATTTTTACAATAATAATAATTTTAAGCCAATTTTTTTAAAATACTTTTGTATTTTAAAACGACTAAAGTGACTTTTTTGGCTTCTTTATATCCGTGGCCTATATACAGTTTATCTAAGCTTTCATTTACTAAAAATGAAATGATTATTCTATTTGCCATTTATTTAATGTTCAAGTTAAGTAAACATTACTAAATCACTGTGCAATATAAAATCCCACAAAAAATGTATACAACATATATATATATACATATCCACTTCACCTAATAGGCTTTCATTGTATGCCAACATTGTAAAAAAAATTTCCTGACTCGCAGTTTCGATCGTGTTGTGTGTGACTGTTGAGTGCAAACATTTTGTTTTCACGAGGAAAAATAGAAAATGTCAACGACAATGACTGTCAAGGAGATTGCAAAAGATTATGCTCCTTATTTGAAAATGGATTTATCAAAACAGGTATGTGTGACAATGTTTGTTATAAAGTATTATTAATAAATACTTTTTACTCTGAAATATTATCATCTGTGATTTTCACTCATACACCGACAGTGTCTAGAAAAATTTACATACCAACTTGGCGCAACTAAAGTTACAAGCTCCTGGTTATAAAAAGTAATACGTATCGTGTAATCCTTTTCACTTTTATTGACCAATAAAATCTTAATTATGTTGTATTTTATCATGCATTGAGGAGAAAAAAAATTATTACTCGTATTTTATCTTTACGAATACATTCTTTTTCTCTTCAATGAAAATTTTTTTAACTTTGCTTTTTATCTTCAATTTTGCCGCCTTATTTCAAATTTTACTTCTATCAGAAATTTTTTTTCCTATTTTTTGAATTCAATTTTATCATTTTACTTGTATTTTAATGATTTTAACAATAAAGGGAAATTTTTTAGAAAAGAATTTTTTTTTACTCATAAACTAACGCAAGATATAAATCAATCTTTTTTTTCAAGTAAAAAATGATTAAAAAATTTCTACAATAATTTACATATTGTAAATGATTTATTGTGATGCTCAAGTATTCATAAAGTGGTCATTAGATGATTTTTTTAATTTAAAGAAATTTTAATTACTGATTTTTACGTTTATGAAATTCATTAAATGGAGAGAATTTTTTTTCCCCGATCATAGGTATTAATAATTTTGTAAAAATAATGTTTTGTTTTTTTTTTGCAGACAAGAAGTATTCATGACGCAGTAGAGGATATGCAGATGCGCTTGGAAGAATTTGAATCTATTATTAGAATGGTTAGATTCTATTAAATTATGAAATAAAAGAAAAAAAAATTAAATGAGAAAAGAAAAATTAGGATTTGATTTAATGTCAGGTTTCAGGACTGATTTTAAATTGTAATAATTAGCCCTGTAAACAGGCTTCGCACTTATCTATTACAATCTACTATTTCCTACTTTTTTTACGATTTGCTGCTATTTGGTAATTTTTTTTATATTTGTGACACTAAAAAATAAATTTAATTTAGACAACCGAGTGATAAATTTATTCAAATATTTAAAAATAATAATAAATGAATTATTTATAATTATTTTCAAAAATTTTAAGAAATTTTTTCGCAAGAATTCAATTGTTCTTACAAATAACAATAACAAAATCTACAATTTAAATAAAATTTCACAAAAGAATTAAATTATTTTAAACGAAAATTGAATAAAATTCTTTGCAAAAATTCAATTATATAAAATATTTTAATAAAATTCTTTGAAATACATTATTTTCAAAAATTTTGATAAAATTTGTTTATAAGAATTAAATTATTTTTATAAATAATAAATTAATTAATAATAATAAATCAGGAAAAAGTCAGGGATTTTTATTAAAAGTACTGAAAAATATAAAATGTTTAGAATTTATAAAAAAATTCGGAATTTTTGTGTCTTTTTGTTTGCTTCATAAACTATGAACTTACTACAAATTCTAAAAAAAACCTTTAATTTTTTCCATTTCTGACAATAATTAAAAAAAAATTCTTGTCAATATTTAAATTATCTTTATAAATAGCAAAATTCTTCGCCGAAATTCAATTATATTCAGGAATTAAATAAAATTTATTGCAGAATTCAATTATTTTCATTAATAACAATATTTATCACAAGAATTCAATTGAATTCAATTTTTCAAAATTAATCAAATTGTTTGACAAAATTCAATAATTTTCAGGAATTTTAATAAAATTCAATTATTTTCAAAAGTAATAAAAATAACAATATTCATCACAAGAATTCAATTATTTTCAAAAGTAATAAAATTTATTTATTTTCAAAAATTTTAAGAAAATTCATTGCAAAATTTCAATTCTTTTTCAAAAATTTTTCTTAATTCAATAATTTATAAATGTATTATTTTAATAAAATTTCCCAAAAGAATTCAATTATTTAAAAACAATTATATCAAAATTCTACATGAATATTCAATTATTTTCTAAAGTAATGACTCTCTGGTAATGGAAATTTCACAGGAATTTAATTATTAAAAATAGAATTTACATAAATTTGTTCGTAAAAAGTCAATTGTTTGAAACTTTTTTATAAAATTCTTTGCAATAATTAAATTATTTTCATAAGTAATTAAACTTATTGCTGAATTTCAATTATTTTTAATATATTTTTAATCAAAGTCCTCGAAAAATGTAATTAATCTTAGAAATTTTAATAAAATTCGTCGAAAGAATTCAATTATTTAAGTTGATAAAATTATGTATAAGAATTAAAACATTTAATTATTCAATAAATAACACAGGTTTACAAATTAAAAACTTTTTTTTGCCAATCGAACAAAACAATTTTTTTTCGAAAAGTAGGTGTTTTTTGAGTAAGAAAATCATAGTTTTAATTTTTTTCCCTCGTGCAGTTTTTCTGTAGCTTTAAATTTTCCATTTTCGAGGTGCGAAGCCACTTAAACTTACCTGTAGGAAAATTAGCTTGTCAAAATATAATAAATGAGGTATCATTGGAAAGGTTATTAAATTACCTTTCGATCCATAGGTCACAGAATAAAATTCAACAAAAATTGAGAGAGTTACAGTCGATTAAAGATGAAATTTCATGACAATTTTGATGATTTTTAGACATTTGAGTAACTTCTACTATTTTTTTCTACATCAAACAGGAAAGAATGTTTAGGTTTTAATTTTTTTATTGATAGACTATATCATTACACAAATTTTGAGCCCTTGTGGACCCCGATTGGATTAAAAATGACAATTCTACACTAAATGTAGTGAACGAAACTACATTCTTCATTTTTAGTATCCCTTAAACATTTGCAGCAAAAATTGAAGTAATAAAATTTAGTTAAGCTCTAAAGTTACTAAAATCACTAATAAAGGATTTCTGAAATCGTAGATTTCGAATCCAATGTTAGTTTTCTAAATTTCAAAATGGCGGATCTAATATGGCGGACAAGTTTTTAAAAATCGATTACATTCGTCTTAAATTCGTTACTCGGGGGTTTTCGGGGTCGCTGATTACGAATCTGATGTCACATTTCAAAAATTGAAAAGGATGGATTCATAATGGTAAACGAGTTTTTTAAAATCCATCAAATTCGCACCTATTGGATCCGCCATTTTTAATTTTCGAAATCTGACATCAGATTCGTAATCAGCGACCCCGAAAACCCCCGAGTAACGAATTTAAGACGAATGTAATCGATTTTTAAAAACTTGTCCGCCATATTGGATCCGCCATTTTGAAATTTAGAAAACTAACATTGGATTCGAAATCTACGATTTCAGAAATCCTTTATTAGTGATTTTAGTAACTTTAGAGCTTAACTAAATTTTATTACTTCAATTTTTGCTGCAAATGTTTAAGGGATACTAAAAATGAAGAATGTAGTTTTGTTCACTAAATTTAGTGTAGAATTGTCATTTTTAATCCAATCGAGGTCCACAAGGGCTCAAAATTTGTGTAATGATATAGTCTATCAATAAAAAAATTAAAACCTAAACATTCTTTCCTGTTTGATGTAGAAAAAAATAGTAGAAGGTACTCAAATGTCTAAAAATCATCAAAATTGTCATGAAATTTCATCTTTAATCGACTGTAACTCTTTCAATTTTTGTTGAATTTCATTTTGTGACCTATGGATCGAAAGGTAATTTAATAACCTTTCCAATGATACCTCATTTATTATGTTTTGACAAGCTAATTTTCCTACAGGTAAGTTTAAGTGGCGTCGCACCTCGAAAATGCAAAATTTGAAGCTACAGAAAAACTGCACGAGGGAAAAAAATTAAAACTATGATTTTCTCACTCAAAAAATACTTACTATTCGAAAAAAAATTGTTTTGTTCGATTGACAATTTCACTGTAAACCAGTGTAATCTATGTTTGTATTTAAATAATTGAATTGTCGTTGAATTTTCTAATAAAAATTGATTTAAATATTAGTTTTAGTTAAAGTTGTAGATAAAAATTGAATGTTGAAAAAGTTACTAATTAATTGCAATTTTTAAAAATAATTGAATTTTGTAAACAAATTTCTTTAACGGGATTTCAATTATTTTTTATACAATTTTAAAAGAATTTCTCGAAAAATGTAATTATTTTTAAAAATTCTCTTAAAATTCTTCGAAAAAAATAAGCGGTTTTCAAAAATTTTGATAAGATTCTTCTCGAGAATTCAATTATTTTTACAAATAATACAACTTTTCACAGAAATTAAATTATTTAAAACAATTTAATAAAATTCATTAAAAGAATTTAATTATTTTCATAAAAATAGTACAATTCTTTACAAATATTTTATTAAGATTTTTTTGCATTCTCGTAGAACTTTTTAATAAGAATTAATTTAAAAATGAATTTCATTTAAAATTGTAGGATGATAATCGTATTTTTGAAGAATTCTCACTAACAATTTGAAATATAATTGAATTTCAGAAAAATTTATTATTAAAGTTATTACCAAAAAAGATAATATTATAAATAAAAAAGAATTGAATATTTTTTATGGAAATCAGGAAAATGTCAGGGAAATACGGAATCAAATTTTTCTAAATTTTTGTGAATGGATTAAAACAAGTTTTTTAGTCGTCAAATTTAATTTCTCGGTAGCTACTTTTTTTACTACTTTTTTCACTCTAAAAGCTACTTAAAGTTACTTTTTAAAAATTAATTATTAAGTGTAAAGCCTGTCTAAGATTTAACTCTTTCTTTAATATTTTGTGCTTTACATCATTAATTTTCTTTTACGTTGTCGCAGATTCAGTCGGAAAATGAAAAATGCATTAATCAATATATTCCCACTTTTCGGATGATGTGTCCAAAAATAATGGAACTCTGCAAGAAAGTCGATCTTCTTGAACGTATTGTTCTTCGAATAAATTACGATTTAACGGATTTGGAAAAGGATTTTGAAAATGCCGAAGCTGACCTTGGATCTGCCGAAAAGAGATTTACGATTTTAAATCCGCTGACATTTTTCGTAAGTCGCTAATTTCGTTCAATATCAGTTTTTAGTTTCTTATATTTCTTAATTTGATGGTAATGTTGATATTTATTTTATAGGAAAAACTGGAATTTATTTATTTTAATGAGTCATTCAATTTATACAAATAATTGAATTCTTGCGAAGAAATTTTATTAAAATTTTTGAAAATAAGTAAATTTATTAAAGAATTAAAAAAATGTTATAATTTTCGTAACTTTTATATTTTTGAATTCGAAAAATTAATTTCTGGCTTAGAATTCGATTACAACAGTGATAAATAATAGTAACAAATTACTTAATTAATTAATAAATGATTTTTTTAAATTTTCGAATCTGAAATTATTCAAAAATTGAACTTGATATTTGAAAAAAAAAATTTCGTAATTTGCATAATTACAATAAATTTAAAAGCGCGTTTCGCGCGCGTAACATTTACCAGTTTACATGCAATTTTCAATGAAAAAAATTAATTACAATAATTATTCTCCTCTTAATAAACAAATATTGACATTACTTTTTTATTTGCAGAAAAAATCTGGAGAACCGGTGGCGCCTCAACGAATTCCAACTGAATTCCATCCTCCGAGAATTTTCCAAACAGACGAATATTTTGAAAGTCAATGACGATAAAAGGAGGTTTGGGTTTCTTTTTTTTTTATTACAAAAATGTTTAGTTTAATTTCTAAATTTTACATATAAATTATAGATAGTTAAAAATCTATTTTCGTAAAGAAAAAAAAGTATTGTTAGAATATATTTACTCAATTTTTCTATTATTATTTTTTTTTCGATAATAATATAATTGAGAGTATAGAAAAATTGAGAAACAAAATTTTAAGATACCATTTTATAATGCAGTGAGATTAATTACATACATGTGTCAGTTGCGAAAAACCGGTTTTTAAGGAAATGTGTATATGTGTATAAAAAAAACATTCCATTGCTACATATGCCGAAATCATGGCAAACTAACGATGAAAGGCAATAAATAAGGAAACGGAAAATTCCTGTCCTTCATTTCGTGTCCAAAAATGTAAATTTCTTAGTAAAGTCTTGCACAATTTTTTAATCTTGACTGTCACTCAGAAACAAATGATCCTTAATTATTATTTTCGTTCTCGGAGACAACTTATTACGAAAAACGATAAAAATTAGCGAAATTGCATTAATCTAAAGACGGTGATAAAAATAGTAAAAAAGGAATATTAATTATTATCCAGAAAAAATGTTCAAAATAAACTTTTCTAACAAACAAAAAGATTTTTTGATTCAAAGAAAATTTTTAATTTCAACAAATTTTCTTTGAACCAAAAAAATTTGTTCTTTAAATTAAAGAAATTGAATTTTTACAAAGAATTTTAATAAATTATTACGCGGTATTCCATTTATTATTATTTTGTAAATTAAAAAATGTTATATTTTCAAGAATAAACATCAATTTTCGAATAATTACAGATTCAAAATTTGAAGAATTCACTTCTTAAGTAGATACATACAATATCAAATATTCTTGTTTATTATTAGTATTCAAAAATTTTAATAAAATTTTTCGCAAGAATTTCATTATTCTCATAAATAATATTTTTTAGAGCAATTCAATTTTTTTCAATACAATTTTAATAAAATTTCTCGAAAAAATACAATTATTTAAAAAAATTTAATTAAATTCGATTATTTTCAAAAATTTTATTATAAATTCAATTATTTTCGACAATTTTGATAAAATTCTTTTAAAAAAATCATTATTTTCAAAATTTTTAATAAAATTCCTTCAAAAAATTCAATTATTTTCAAAAATTCAGATAACATTCTTCGAAACAATTCAATTATTTTTATGAATTGTAAAAGCCTCCGCAAAAATTCAATTATTTTCTTAAATAAGAAAATTCTTCAATTATATTCATAAATAATAAAATGTTACGGAGAAATTCAATTATTTTTAAAAACATTATTTCAATCCAATTATTTTCAAGAGTTTTAATATAAATTCAATTATTTTTAACTATTCTGACAAAATTCTTCTAATTCATTTTCTTTGGAATTCAATTAAAATTATATTTAAAATAATTGAATTCTTGAATTGAATTTTATTAAAAGTGTTTTAAATAATTGAACTCCTGTGAAAAATTTAATTATTTTTTAAAATAATTGATTTTTTTTGAGAACTTTTACAAGATTTTTAAATAATTGATATTTTTGAAGAAATCAATTAAAATTGTATTGAAAGTAAGTCAAATCCTAGTAAGAATTTTATTGTTTATATGAAAGTAATTAAATTTTTTTACGAAGATTTTTCTTATTTATGAATTGACTTTTTGCAAAGAATTTTAATACAATTATTGAAATTAATTGAATTCTTCATAAAATTCAATTACAGTACGGTCGCGCTAATCCGACAACGATCAAGATGACTGTTTTCCCCCACCTAAGATAAGTGGGGGGCGCGACGGAAAACCTCAATATCTTCTTCTTCTTCTTCTTCTTCTTCTTCTTCTTCTTCTTCTTCTTCTTTGATGTCTTCTTTGATGTCTTCTGGCTTAGCCGACTGACAGAACTATAAATTGATAAAGAAGTAGAGTGTAACTATTATTTCTATGGTGTATCTATATATAGAGTTTTGATGTTGATCTTGAGCATAGACAGTGAGAGTACTGAGTTGATCTTTTCCCTCCAAATTCTCCGTGATTTACAGTCAGTTCCAATTGTGAAGTTATAGTCTAAAGGTAGGAATGTTCGTGGACAAGCATATAGGTAGGGATGTCATGTGCAGGACTGCACAGCAAATGCAAATCAGTTTTTTATGAATTTTACGTTTACATGTGCCCCAAATCTGCTTAAATCCGCTTAGTCCACTCACACTCATACCAACATTTCCAATTGCTACCAGAAACCAAATTAGATCAAAAAGAGGTGTAAAAGTACATAGTCAAGGTATTCAAGTTAAATCGATAAATACAGTAATAGGTTCTCAAATCAGTCGCTCAGAATGAGCGAAAAAACCACCCAACTCTCTCACAGTTTCACTATCTGGTGGAAAGATCAAATCATCGATCGAGACAGACGCAGGATCCACACCCGGATATCTTTTATTCAAGAAATTATATAAACCAACTCTAGCCAATGCCAGGTTGGGACATACGTTCAACACGTGTTGTAGAGTTCTCCGCTCCTCACCGCAGCCACATCTCACCGCCACATTCCAATTTATTCTTTGGAATAGTTCATGGGTAAAGGCGTGACCTGTTCTGAGTCTAGTAATGGTAATGATTTCGATCCGAAAATGGCCACAGGTGTACCCAGTTTGCAGATCTATCCGGAAGTAGGACATCCCGCATGATGTCACTCAAAGGTGGTCCAAAATATATTCTCTTATTCTGTTTATTAACTTCTTTACATATGAAGTCAACGTGTTCGTTGCCTCTTATTCCCGAGTGTGCCGGCACCCATAAGAATCCAACCACAGTTTTAGGAATTAAAGGAAGCTGAGGGAAAAGAAGGTCCAAAATGTCATGTATCAGGTAGCAGTTGTTTAGACGATATACAGAAGAGAGTGAGTCTGTGACTATGGTTGGTTACAGAATGAGCCAAAACGCAACGAAGACGCAACGCGTCCCAATGCTAATCAAATGGGGACGCGTCGCGTCTTCGTTGCGCTTTGGCTCATTCTGGAACCAACCTATAAGAATTTTGGAAAATCTATTATTGTGTGCGTAAAGAATTTCCCTATGTATGGCAAGTAATTCTGCCGTTAGTATGGAAGTAAAAGGTTGCAGTGGAACACCTCCCGAGTATGAGCTTGTCTCATCGTAGAATGCAGAGGAAGCCATTCCATTGATGGGGTTTAAGGAGCCGTCAGTGTAGATTATTCTAAATCCTTGATATTAGTCTGACAGAATTTCGCGGAAGTCACGCTCCGGACTCTCACTGGACTTCAAAGCCTGTCCTGAGTTAACATTGCAATTGGGAGAAAAAATCATTGACTGCCACCTCCAGTCAAAATATGCCGGTTTTAGTGTCTTTTTACCGATTGTAATTAAAGGATACATTCTTTCAAGCGAATCTAAGAGAGGGATCTTGTCCGACCTGATCTTATACGAGGGAAAAGTTTGGAAGTGTCATTAAGAGTCTGTAATAATAATATAAGAGGGTTCTCGGACCATTGAGAGTTGCGCAAAATAAAAAGATTCGAAAGATAGGTTCTTCTAAAGCCTAGGGTTGGTCCATTCGCCTCCGCGAGCAAAACCGAAATTGGGGTTGACCTTAAACATCCCAAAGCTGCTCTCAATGCTGCCGACTGGACTCTATCCAGACTTTTCAGGGTTGTAGGGGCGGAATTTGTATACAAGGACGAACCCCAATCAAGAATAGCGCGAATCAAATTTCGGTACACCATAAGAGCCAGTGCGGGGGAAGTACCCCAAGAAGCCCTAGATACTATCCTCAATATTCCCAGTGCCCTAATAGCTTTGTCCGATATATATTTGATGTGTAGGGACCAGGAGAGTTTTTTATCAAGAATTATACCCAGATGTTTCATTTTATCCTCGCAACGAACTTGGGAGTCTCCTATATATATTCCTATGTGATCAAAATTCCTCCTTGATTTAGTAAAAATACAGCAAGTTGTTTTATGCGGAGCTACATCCATGCCCATTTTCTTAAGCCATTTCACGAGTCTTCTGATCGAACAATTGAATATGTTTGTTTGTATTGAATATGTTTGTGAATTCCATGGCCCCTTTCTCCATTTTACCTCTGAAATCACCCCACCTGATTGTTTTTGGACAAAAGTTATTTTCAGAGGGAGCTGTCAGTCCCGGAGCAACATCTACCTTAAGGAGCACCGGATAGTGATCCGACGCAAAGGAATCCTCCATAACATTTATTGAAGACGCCTGAAGTATAGGTGGGGAAACGAAGATTAAGTCCAGATTACTTCCTGGAACATTCGCATCCTTGAACGTAGTCGGCTGGGTAGAGTTGGTTATGTATATGTCTTTTTCTAAACTAAATGGCACGAGGGAGGAACCCCTTAAGTCTGTATCGTTTTCTCCCCAACATGTATGGTGGGCATTGAAGTCTCCACAAAAAATATGATTATTATGTACCGGTAAGGTGTCAAAAATGTCTGTCCAAGTCTGAGGGGAAATGTCTCTACCTAGTGGTGCGTAAATACATGTAATTTGTGTGTGTCCAAATAAAGTGTTTATTGTTATAGACGCTATGTCTATTGTTATATTATCTAAACTGTAAGTAAAGAGATTTGTAATTTGAAAGGAGATTTCCTTTCGTATTAACCCTACTAAAAATAAAATCAGGAATGGTCAGACAAATGGTCAGGCCGCCTGACCACTTTAATCCAGTTTTCTTACGATTCTGGATGGATCTCGTCAGAAATCTATCACAACTGATCAGGAGGAAGTTTAAAGTGGTCACAAGTTTGCTACTATCCCCTCCTCTTTGTTGACCCCGCCCATAATTGGTGACTATTTGAGACCATTTGTATCTCATTTTTGACCATATTTTTAAGCCACTTCTGTTTTATTTATTTAAATAATATGCAAAAAGTTGCAACAAATTAATTTTAAAAAATATATTTTATTAATTAATATCAGTTTGTTTACATACGGAACAACTTGAAACTAATTCCCGGAATTAAATTAAAATTTGGACCCTACGGGGATCGAACCCCGACGCACGACCTAACCTAGTGCCTAAACTAACTGCCCTAACGACCGCGACTACCGAACCGACTTACATATTTCTGGATTCAACTGTCTATATAAAGAGCAACTGTAAAATAGTAAACTTCAATTACCAATATTATCAATAAATCAGAATAAACTGTTAAATAATTTTTATTAATTAATTATATTTCAATTTAGTCATAATAGGTTATGTGAATTAATAAAAATTAACATTATTAATTGAATGAATAATAAATTAAGTCTTAACTTTACAATTTGGAATGTTTCATAAACTATACTACGAATACAGATTAATAATAATTATTATTATATCTGTATTTAAAATGAATTTAGTATTTAATATTAATTTAATTTAACATTATAATTTATAATAATAATGAATTATTAATGCAATATTGAAATTTTTATAAATTTTAAATTTAAATTATTAATAATCATTATAGTAATAAATTGTTCTATTAATGAATTATAATAATTTAAATTTAACTGTATTTCAATTATAATGCAAATACTTCTTATAATAAGTACTGGTATAGTAAATTTCTAATATTATGAAACAAAATTTATTATTAATTAACTATATTAAATAATTACAAGTAAATATACATATCTATCCCTATTAATATAAAATCATATCGCCGCCGCCGCTGTTTCAAAAAGTTTTAAGGGGCCCTTATAGTAGGGGGAACATAGTCAAGGTTGGCCCACTGTCAAGGTAGGTCCATCGTCAGAAACAAGTTACATTTGACCTAAATTCAGGTCAGTTTTAAGGGCAGTTTTAACCTACAAGTCAAAATTTAGGTCAATTTTAAGGGCAGATTCACTACAGGTAAAAAATTGACAAATTAACCCCTTTGCCCTCAAAATTTAAGTAAATTTTAAGAGTAGTTATGACTTAAAGTTAAAAATTGACAAACTTATCGCTCTACCTTCAAAATTTAGTTCAATTTCAGGTCAGTTTTAACCTAAGCGTTAAAAATTGACAAACAATTCCCTCTGCCCGTAAAATTTATGTGAATTTTAAGGGAAGTTTTAATCTACAGGTCAAAAATTGACAAACAATTTCCTCTGCCCTCAAAATTTAGGTCAATTTTAAGGGCAGTTTTCATCTACATCGCAAAAATTGTAGAAAAAACTTCCTCTGACCTGAACTTTCCTGAAAATTCAGGTCAAATTTTACATATTTTTTAACCTACACATGAAAAAAGAAAATTAATTAGGATTCTTTAAGGGGAGGGTATAGTTAATTCTGTGAAAAAATAGCATGTTTTCGTGATTTTTTTTGGCGCTTTGGTTAGAGCCAGTGTATTGGACAAATTTTACATTTATAGTACATAATTTAAAGATAATTTAGTCAAAATTTGAAAGCTATTTGGCACGCGATTTCCGAAGACGCCTTGAAAAAACATTTTGCGGTGTTTACTGTAAGTCGAAGCTGGATCATCCGTCAGTTTTGCTCGGATTTGCTTCAAATTTTCACACAATACTCTTGAAATATAGTAGATTAAAATAAAAAAATAAAAAAAGCTAAAATATTATACCCTCCCTTTAAGAGGTCGTTCCCTTATATTAAAATTTGACGGAATTTTCGACCTATTGGTTAAAAGAAGTTTGACCTAAATTTCAATATTAAGTTTCAATCAATAAAAGATGTTATAAATTGACATCTATTTTTAAAAATTCTATTAAAATTAATTTTCTGTCCTCAAAATGTACTTTAATTTTAATGGCAGTTTTTTCCTACAAGTTAAAATTTGATCAGAAATCTCCCTCTAATCTGATATTCTCTCCTGATATTGACCTACAGGTCAATTTTAAGGGCAGTTTTGACCTACACGTCAAAAATTGACAAGAAAATTTCCTCTGACCTACTGTTTCCTCAAAATTTAGGTCAATTGTAAGGTCAGTTTTGACTTACGGGTAAAAATGAGGCCCACAAACGTCTATTATTTTACGTCGAAATCTTTAGGTAATTTGGCATTTTCTTTTGCTTACAGGTTAGAAACGGCCAAATAGTGGCCCTTACATTACGTCAACATTTATGTCAACTGCAGATAAAAAGGGGCCCAATAATACTTTTGACACTTTCAAAAAAGATTGATCAAATTTACTATGAGGAGTGTCAAACTTGAAAAAGTTGACACTATAATCATGTCCGTAAAGCAGAATACTCTATTAGTTCTCTTTTTTAATATCTCCTGTTATAATTTACTCTAACTCATTACTATGCCATCATATTAAAAGAACATGATTTTAAAAATTAAAATAAATATTAAAAATAGTTAGGGGGTTGGCGCGCGAAGCGCGCAGGGGGGCGAAGCCCCCCTAGTATTAAATAAATATATTATAAATATACATTAAATAAATATATTAAATAATGTTAAAAGAATGGTCCGAAGGTTTTGATTTATTTACCTACTTTTGCTGTATAATTAATTCAATAATTATACCAATTTGAAAAATGAGAACTTTTTTGTCAAGTTAAAAGAACAATTTTTTTAATAGAATAATAAATATTAAGTATTCTGAAATATATATATATATATATATATATATATATATTTAGTATTCTGAAATGTAAAAAATAAATTTGAAAGATTTTATTTGTATATATAAATTTTCATGAGACTTCACCAAAATTAGAAAGATGTACCAAAATTTTTATAGGTTATGTGTTCACACATTTCAGAAATGGTAAGGAATTTCAGAAATGGTCACAGCTTCGAAAATGGTGGGAGTAAAGTGGGAGGAGCTTGGAAAGTATTTGGTTAGGAATGGTGAGAAACGTTCAAAAACGCCAGAAGTGGTGAGACTGTTCAGGAATGCTCAGAAATTCTGACCATTCATGACGATTCCTGATTTTATTTTTAGTAGGGAATAGCAGTACCCCCCCCCCCCCTCCTCTACCATTGGGCCGGTCTTGTCTGACAGATATATAATTGTAAACTTCAAATGTAGTTCTTGAGGTTGAGTCCACAATAGACAGCGTTAAGGAGATTGAGCTACTTAACACCATTGATATCAATGGTCTTAAGTAGATTATCGATGGTCTTAAGTAGCTCAATCTCCTTAACGCTGTCTATTGTGGACTCAACCTGACGTTAGCCAGGACTCAGTCACGCAGACCGCGTCCGGATTGTATTTCCATAGCAAAATCTCTAACTCTGGCTTTTTTGGTATAATGCTTCTTGCATTCCAGAGCACCAGAGTGAGAGACTTATGTATGGGTCTAGTCTCGTTTGTCATGGTTCAGTATTTATATATTTCGACTTAACTTCCTGTTATATATGACGTATATCTATAGGCATATATCCGAATATGTGTTGTATTAGATTAGTTTAGTTTTATATATAAGTTGGAAGAGTCGAGATAAAATGTGTAAATGAACAAGTCAATTTTAGTCAGTATTTAGTAACTAAATATTCAAATCCGAGCAGAGTTAAAAAGTCGATATAGTAAAATATAAAGTAAACAGATTAAAATAAATGTTATACAGCAAAATAATAATTTAAATCAAGTAAACAAAACAAATCAAATTAAGTAAAGAAATTATAAACAAGTAAGTCAGTCAAAAAAATTAAAACTTTAGAATAAATAAATATGTCCAACAAACTGTTGGATAAATAAGTTAAATTATGTAACGAAGCATTTCGTTACATAAATCTTGTGTGGTTCCTATCATTGGGAATATCTAAATTTCATTTGGCCAAGGGATATATTCTCTGTGGAAATCTCTGTGAAAATGAATTGCGCATGCGAGGTTGCGAAAAGTCCCGAATCTCTGCGGTCCCTCCCGAGTTTTCTTTACAGGTTGTCGCTGTCCATTCGAGTGAGTGAGAGGGTCATTTGTGGGCCCTTATCAAAATTAGAAAAGGACGGAAAAGAAGGAAGAAGCCGGTCAACGTGAAATTCATTCTTTAGTAGCTCGTGGGCAATTTAATTATTAGGTTGAGTTTTACTCGGGGTTTCCACTTATGGGAACCTCAGGGTTTTTAGAGTCGTTTTGTATTCAAGTTTTGGGTTTCAATAAATTGTCAATTGTTTAAGTGAATCTTTTGTGTTTTATGAGTTTATTTATTTATTGTTTGTGTCGTCGGATTTGTGTTTGTAAGAGTCGCCGTTGGTAAATCGTTGTGTCCAAGTTTCATCGTGTCTCGTTTCGCCGTCGTTTGTATCCGTCGGTTTATGAGTCCGAAGCGGAATCTCCTCTCAGATAATTTAAGGTTTTTGTGTATCATTAAACGGTCGATACAAGTTAGTTGTTACTAATAAAAGATCTGTTATAATTAGTTTCAGTAAGTCAAAGGTTTTCTGAATCGGCATCTTCGACAGACATTTCCTTATCGTAGGATGAGGAATGAGATTCATGTTGATTTGGTATGTTGTCGGATTCCAGTTGTTTTTGTGTATGTTCTTCACGGGGTGGGATCTCGGCTACACCTGTTGTTGTAGGTGAATTAATTCCGATCTCGCTTTCTCCTTCCTCAGAGCCCTCCCATACCACCTCAAATTCAGGTCTAGCTATACCTTGGTTAATTAGTATAGTTTCTGCTTCCTCGTAACTTACATTTTCTTCCAATCTGCATCTCATGATTTCAAACTCATACAGGTAATAAGGGCAAGTTCGTGATGATGCCGCATGTTTACCTGCACAATTAGAACATTGTGCAGATCGGTTGTGATGAGGACATTTTTTCTCGACATGTGGGCCGGCGCAGTACTCACATGTAAAGTGGGTGGATTTACATTGGTCCGACAAATGCCTAAAACGTTGACATTTGAAGCACCTTTTTGGGGGAGTAACTATGAGGGAAAGTTTAAATAAAACACCTGAAATATAGATAGAAGGAGGAAATGTAACGCCTGAGAACACAAATTCCATCAAGTTGGAAACTTCGCTTTTGTCAAATTGTTCTCCTGCGGATTGAAATAATTGAGTCCCTGATATCTGTCTCGAGTCTATTGCTAATTGTAAGTGGGGATAGATTTGTGTCCACATCATATGCATTAAGGCTTTTCTACTGACCAATGAAGTGGGAATGAATGCACGGTAGCCTTTCTCTACAATTGTACCGGAATTCAATAGATCATTGGCCAGTGACCATGTTGAGGATGTTATTCTGAGCTGGTTCCAGCCGTTGAAAATAATTTTCCTTTGATTGTGGGTCGCTTACAATTGTTTCTAAAAAGTCTGCAAACGCGATTCTATTGTACTTCCCAATTTTTTTATTGGGCATTGTCGAATCAATCATAATAGTGTAGGGCAATGGTGAAGTTGATAAAAATCTTGCATCATTCTTATAATTACTGTTATACCAAATGAGCTGATAAGAGGTGGAATCCTCGTTAGGCAAAATAGGAGGACTATTGTGATTAGATTCCACGACTAAGGCTATTGAATTATTCCCTACAGATCCTTGGGGATGGTTATTTGTCGCTACCAATGAATCAGATTCCGATGGAGAGTCTGTCTGACCAAAATCAGAGCAGGAAGGCGGGGAGTTCCCTGTCATGACGTCAGTCGAGTTAGTAGCTGGGTTCACAAGGGTATGTAACGTGTTGCTCTCTGGGTATTTATTACTGTCAGTTGAAGGAAAGGTGTTTGTGTTTTGTATTGTCTGTAAGTTGGAATCTATGGGTGAATTCTCTACCTTTATATTTAGAAGGTTACCGTTTATTGTAGTAGCAAACCCTGGTTTGTGATTAAGCCGATTAGCAATATTTCTGGAGATGCTTATATATCCTCTACCACGTGATGTATTAGTTTTGAATGCAGCTGTGGTCCTTGGCCCCGGCTGGAGCGGAGCGTTGGAGTTTTTCGAATTACGCGGTGGAGTTGGAGCCATTTTAATCTAAAAAAGAATTCTAGCAAGTAATGGAGCACTCACAGCTCTGCCTGCCTGTGCAGGCAGTAATTGGAGTAAGAGAGAAAGTCAATTAGAGTGAAAGAGACAGTAAATTCAAATTTGTATTGCTGCCTTCTAGCTGTGAGTGCGCCTTAAATGGATCTCGCGACTGTCTCGGATGCCAAATGATTCTGAAATGAGTTACTTTAGTTTAGATTGTTATGTAGTCTATTGAAAGCTATATTATTTCGCTTTATAGTAATATTATATATTAATATTATTTATTTATATTTCAGTCTTATTAGTGTATTACTTCAATTTATTATTTATGCAAAATTTGTATTTATGTGACTTATTTCAATTTCTAATTATTATTAGTCAAACGGAAATCAGATTAGTATAGCGTTCAAAGACTATGTTGAATTTTCGTAAATAATTTGTATAAGTGTGGTGGTAAAACAAAAATTAAATTAAATAGCTTCCTCTTAGGTATATTTAAGTTTGTTGTTGTTAAAGGAACTAGTAAAAAATACAATATAATTATCTAAGTGAATGTGAGAAATGTCAGGTATATAATATGTAATGTAATATTTGAAATTTCTTATTCTATTATTGTTTCAATTCAACTTGATTCAGTTTAACCTCTATGCATTCATAAATACGATTTTAATTTGAGTGTAAGTAACCTAAAGCAAGCAAATATTGAGTAAAGATTTAAGTATATAATATAATCCGAATTAGAAGTTTAATTATTATTGAGAAGTTTCAAATATTATTAAATTTGCATTTACTTAAATTGACAGACCAAGAGGAAGTGAATAGGAATTGTATTAGGTATAGTGTGTTGATATATCCCTGGTTAAAAAACCGGACAGATTTCGGACTAATCCGAAATTTGTCCGAAACAATGCGGTTTATGGTCAGGTTTTTGTCACCCGCAATTAATCCGGTAAAATCCGAATTCTATACGGTTTGTGAACAACTAGTGAAACCGGAGTTGGTCCGATGAAGTCCGAAATTAATCAGTTAATTTTAACTAGTGAATCCGGAATTAGTCCGAAACAGTCAAAAGTTAGTCCGGACAATTTAGTAACCACTATACCACGCTCGCATGGAAGTTCAAATTCATAATAGAATTTATGAAGTGCCACGAAAAGAAATGACAAGAAACTAACACATCAGTGTTAATTTTAATATTGAAACAAGATAACTAATAATACCAGTAAATTTGTAAAAACAAATTGACTACAGAATTAAATATTTTATTTACCATAAGTAAGTACCCTGAATAAAAAGTGGAAACGATTTCGGACTAATCCGGAATTTGTTCGCAACAATGCGGTTTATTGTGGAGTTTTTCACCCTGAATTCATTTTAAAATCAATACCGTTTTTTATAACTATATTAAATCCGTAATTAGTCCGGTTTAGTCTGCAGTTAGTCAGATCATATGCAAAGGAGGTTAAAGTTTTGAACGTTCAAATGAACGAAATTTATTTATTTCTTCTTCAAATTAAATTTTTATTACTATAATTTTGCGTCACTATTAAGCAAATTAATTATAATGTTTCTAAATGTAAAATTTGAGTTTTTAATTTGAATTGTAATCAATAATCTATGAAAATATTTTTAACAAAAAATATTTCGTTCATTTGAACGTTCAAAACTTTTTGTTCATATATGCAACTAGTAGACGCAGAATAATCCGGTTGGTTTAACCAGTGAATCCGCAGCTAATCCGAAACAGTCTGCTTATGGACAGGTTTTTGTCGCTCGGAATTTGTCCGGATAAATTCAAACTCAATGCGGTTTGTGTATAACCAGTGAATCCGGAATTAGTCCGATCTAGTCCGAAGTTTGTCTGATAATACGCAACTTGCAAATGTGAAATTATTAAATCCGGAATTAATCTGGTTTTGGTCAGGTTTTTGTAATACGAAATTATAATTATAGTGTGAATTTATCTGCATTTAATACAAATTGTTTTTAATATACCAATTCAATATTTATAACAAAATCATTCCGGATTAAGTCTTTGAATTGGATTGAATATGGATTGTTTTGAACTGTCTATGGATTGTACATATTTACAAATTCTTATAATAATAAGATTTATTTTCGGACTGGGGTCTTTTGATCGGATATTATTCGGATTGACGCTGACTATTACCGAATTCTTTGCATACAGATTTCGGATTGTTCCATACTTGTTTCGGATTAAATCTTCTAACTGGATTAAATTTGGATTATTGCGGACTGATTTCGTATTCTTTACATATTGATTTCGGATTATTTCGTATTTGTTTCGGATTATACCTTTTAGTTGGATTAAATCTGGATTGTTGCAGACAATTTTCGGATTCTTAGCATACAGATTTCGGATTGTTTCGTACTTCTTTCGGAATAGGATTTTGCCACACTTAGTTTCAAATTGTTGCGGACTAATACCGGATTTCTTACTTACAGAGTTCGAATTGCTCCGGACATTTTACTGATTAAGTTTTTTTAACTATATTAAACTCGGATTGTTGCGGACTGATTCCGTATTCTTTACATATTAATTTCGGATGATTCCCTACTTATTTTAGAAGAATTCTTCACCGGTCATAAATTTGGATTGTTGCGGACTGAATTCGTAGACATTCAGGATTACTCCGGAGTGTTTTCGGATTCAGGTTTTCGTTCGGATTGATATCAGACTATCGCGGATCATTTTCGGATCTTTTTCGTACAATTTTCGGACTAATCCGTACTAATCTGTCCGTATTTAATCCGGAATTAGTCCGAAATTTTTACCAGGGATATATATAGGAATGACTATACCTTCTTGTTTATTTGTTTGTCTGACCTTATAGGTTATTGTTAATATCCGTTTGCTTGAATTGTTGTTAGCTGAACTCAGTTAGATTGTATTAAAATTCAGTAATTACTGGTTAAAATGGTGTACACTCTAACACACTAAATTTCTCTGCTATTACGCGTATTATCTAGTATTATAGGGTATTACAGAACTATTACAAATAACTTCAAACTGCGAACAGATTACCGGAATACAACGATTATTAATATAAATTATTTATTAAATATTTGAATTCATGTGAAAAATTGTATTGTTCGTAAAAATAATACAATTTTTTTTTAATTTAAAGGAATCATTAAAATGTTTCAAATAATTTAATTAAAATTGTTAAAAATGATTTAATAGGAAAAATTTTATTTAAATTTTTGGAAATAATTGAATTTTTTGAATCAGTTTATTAAAATTTAAGAGAATAACTCCATTATTGCGAATAATTTAATTAACATTGTGTTAATAATAATTAAAGTCTGTGTGAAAAAATTTCATATAATTTTGGAAATTAAGTTAATTGTTTTAAAAGATGTTATTACATTTTTAAGAATTCTTTCTAAGAAGAATGTTATTAAAATGTTTGAGAATAATTTTTTTATTTCAACTATTAGCATATTCAAATTAGTCTATATTCTCAATAAAAAGAAAAAAGTCGCTTTTAGTGTCAGAAATAAAAAAAAACTATCCAAATGCCGAAAAGAATGGAAAAAATGTTAATAATTCAATAAATTGAAAGATATTTAATTTTTATTATCGTAATAATTTTTTTTAAAAACTCTATTTACATTTCCCGTACAAAACTAAATTGCTGGTGATGATAATAATAATACCGTGAAATAAAGATGAAAGGTTAGTGTTTTAATAAAATGTTATAATCTAAAGAAAGCTTTGTGAGCTCTTCCATTTGGTATTTGACCTTGAAGTCTTAGTCTTCGCACAGCTTCTCTCAAGTGTTTTGGTTGCACTGGTCCCGATTCGTCATGTGCCTCCATCACATCTAAAGCTTTTCATTGCAAAAATTACAAAACGTTAGTTTTTTTTTAATTTTTGTAAATTCTAGATTTCTTTCAAAGTTGAAGAAATAATTTCAAACAAAATTCTGATCGTAGAAAGAAATTTATTTATTTCTTCTTGAAATTCAAATTTCATTGCCATAACAGGGTGTCTACTATTTTTGTTCAATAAAATTCCCGGTTATTTCCCGGCTTTGTCCTAATTTTTCCCAATTTTTTTTCTCATCAAGTTTAAATTTATTTGACTTCGAACATAAATAAATCTACAAATGGCTTCACAAATTTTTATTAGAGTTTTTATAATTAATTAAATTCTTTTGACGAGTTTCTTTAATTTAAAAAATAATTGAATTAAGCAAAGAATTTTTTCAATTTTTTAAAATAATCTTGTCTGCTCATAATTATAATTGAAAATTGGATTATGTAATTCAATTTTATTAAAATGTACTGATACTAATTGTATTTCTGCAAAAAGAATTTTACTACTTATAAAAGTAATTGAATCCTTCCAAAGAATGTTATTATTTATGAAAAATTAAAATAATAAAACTGTTTTTAATTTGGTGAAAAAATTCCCGATTTGGCATAAAATTCCTGGCTTATTCCCTGTTTTCCCGGTCAAATTAAATTCACGCATATTTCCCGTTTTTCCCGGTTAGTAGACACTCTGAATAATTATTGCGTCAAATATTAGGAACAATAAATTATAAAAATTCTCGAATTTTAATTTTCTTTTTTGCTTTTTATAGTTCAGTAATTTTTGAAAATAATTACATTGCGGCAAAAAATTTAATTTATTTAAACGTTCATCACTTGTGACATATAAATATATTCTTGAATCTACATTAATAATTTTAAATATTCTTCAATTCGAAATATTCTCTTCGAAATATAAAATAGTTTTGTAATTCTAAATATCTTTTTGAAACTATTTCGAAACTAATGAATTTTTCAAATTGTTTTTGAGAATAATTTTTAAATAGTTAAAATTATTTATTTTGGAAATATTTTGGAAAATTTATTTGAATTTACTGACCTTCTTCAACTATTTCCCCAACGAAGACTTTTGCAATGCCCGACATTGCAATTACCACGTTCTGAGATACGGAACATCCTGTGATAGTTTGCATAATCTGTAGAGAAAATAATTTTTTTTTATTCATTAGGAATTCGGAAATTTCTGCGGAATCAGAGTTTATATACAATTAAAATACGCCCTAAAATACTAGTAAGTTCTGAAGGTTTAGATCTAAAGATTCTATTTCTTTATGCAAATTTAACGTAAATACAACTTGTTAACTTGATAATGTAGATAGTAAGTAAAATCGCATTAAAAATTTGAATAAAAATAATTCAAATCCATAAATATGTAAACTCTCGTTCCGGACATAATTACAGTAAATTTTACAACGTCTACAATCAACAATTCGGAGAAGAAATTCCTTTTTTTCTAGCCATTTTCAATTAGAAAAGGACCCCACAGGAAATACATTAGTTTTGGGTCCCAGTCGATTTTATTATAAATTTTGAATTTTAAGTTTGTACCTATTCAGTCTGAAGAAAAATATTAAATTCAAAAACTTATATAAAAAAATCGATAAAAGAAATTCGTTAGGAGAAAAATTTTAATACTTTTTGTTGAAAACATTTGTTTTTCTACTTAAGTGTTGATTTTATAAATGTTGTGAAATTCACTGAGATGTCAAGTTTTGACATAATAAACATACCCGTTTAATGGCTGATTTAGGGAATGCTGCACGTCGATACATTTCATATCTGTCTAATTGATCTTCCGTGAAATTTGACACTAAAACTCTAAAAAAAATTTATTACTTAATTAAAAGTATTTACCTAGAAAAAAAACTTAATAATTTTCTTTTATTAAAATTTTTAATTATTATTATTATTGTTAATTTAACTAAAGTTAATTTAATCCATTGTATATCACCCAAAATCGTTGCGGCCTATTTTTAGAAAAATCTAATCTTTTAAAGTAACAAGGACAAAAAAAAATTCACGCGCGTGTAGTTTTGCCAGTTTTTTAATGTAATTGAATAGTTTTGATAAATTTAATTAAAATTGTGGTATAAAAATAAATTGAATTCCAGCAAAAAAATTAGGTTTATTATAAAAATAATTCAATTCCTGCCAAGAAATTTATTACCTATTCATTAAAATAATTAAGAAAATTTATTTATTTTCGTAAATAATAAAATTCTCTCCTGGAATTCAATTATTTTGAGATTTTTATTGAAAATAGATTGACAATAATTTAATTCTTTGTAAAGAATTGAATTTTAATAAAAATTTAGACAAATGAATTCCTTCTAGAAATTTTAATTAAATTTTTGTTAAAGATTTTATTATTTTTTCTGTTTTAGAAATAATTGGATTCTTTCGGAAATTTTAATGCATTTTATTGAATTTTATTAAAAAAATTTGTAAATAATTAAATTTTTGTTAATCATTATATTTGAAATTTAAAAGAATAAAACTGTATTTTAAAAAATTAAGTTCTTTCAAAGAATTTTATCAAAATTTTTGAGACTAATTGAATATTTTGGAAAAATTAATTTTACTTAATTTGTTCATTTTAAAATTAAGTTTTAATAGGTATAGTTAATAATTTTAATAATAATAATTGTCAATAAGTTTTTTAATTGAATATTTTTTAATTTAATTTAAAAAATGTTTTAATTTTAGAATATTTTCTAAAAAACTTACTGCATTTTTTCCCTCTCCTCTTCCTCCAATTCTCTTTTACTTTTTTCCTTACTTTCTCTTCGTTCTTTGACATTACTTGGAGTTACATTGGATGTTAGAATATTGTTACCAAATAAATCTTCAGTAATTGCCTCATTATTTTGTTCCGGAGGAACTTCAATCTCGTGTTTTACAATGTCAATTCGATCTTCTAATACTTCGGATTTAAAAGACGCGGATATTTCTTCGTTATCAGACTGTGATTGCGAACTGGTTGTGTATTCAATTTCCATCTGTTACAAAAAAAAGTCAATAATTTATTTAATACTGGCAAATGTTACTCAATTATTTTGAATACTTGAATTGAATTCTTTAAATAAATTCAATTATTTTCGAAACAACTTTAATTGAATTTCTCAAAAAAATTTCATTATTTTCAAATATTTCTTTAAAATTCTTCATAACAATTAATTATTTCTTAAAATTTTCATGAATTCTTCGGAACAATTCAGTTGTTTTTATAAATATAGTAAAATTCTTGTCAAGAATTCAATATTATATTTATAAATAGTAAAATCCTTTGCAAAAATTCAATTCTTTTCCAAACAATTTTAATAGAATTCCTCGAAAGAATTTAAATTTCCAAATATTAACATAAAATTCTTTTTTCCCCTGAAATTTTAATAAATTCTGCGAAACAATTCAATTATTTTTATAAATAGTAAAATTCTTCGCAAGAATTCAATTATTTTCAATACAATTTTAATAAAATTCTTCTTCATAAAATTCAATTGCTTTCAAAATTTTCAATTGAAATTATTAAAGAAACTCCATTAGTTTTAAAAAAATTCAAAGAAATTCTTCAAAAGAATTTAATTAGGATTTTTAAGAATTTTAATAAAATTCTTCGCGAGAATTCAGTTATTATCCTAAATAATATTGAACGTTGAAAATATTAGTAAAAGTTCATATTACATTAATTAATAATTTGGTAATATTAATTTAATATTAATTATATAATAAATAGAAATAATTCAGAAAAAAGAACTTTTGATTAAAAATTGAATAGAAAGGCGTTTCTTGTTTCTTTACCACGTCATTCTCCTTTGTTTTTGGAGCAATCTCTTTATCCGTGCTACTTTCGTCTAGAATATTATTCTCTCCCGAAATTTCCATTGATGAATTTTTATCCTCTTCCTTTGGGCAAACATCAGTAAAATCATTTTCGTTTCCTGAGTCATCATCTTTTCCGAATATGTTATCCATCTATTAATATTATTATATTATTCAATTGAAATTTATTTATATTCAATATTATTTTATAATACAAAAACGAATCGTTTTTTTGTACTATTAACTCTTTCTTTTTCAACTAATTACTATTTACAAATTTTAACCATCGTAATTGTTATATTTATTTCTTTCGCATTTTAAATAAACATAACCTACAATTTTTCTATAAACAAACAAAATTTGTAAATTTTATGTCCTTCTTCAAATTTCAAAAGATTTATACTGGCAATAAAATTTTAGATTTTACATTCTCATTTCAATAGAAAATTTGTTTATTATAGAATATTTTAAAAATAGTAACAGAAGTACTCATAAATAATTAGTACGGATAGTAACGAAATAATAAGTAAAAATAACAATTTCAATAAATGGAAAATAAATTTATATTTTATATCTATCTGTAAATAAAACGTTAATTGCTGGTCATTACAGTTCTTGGGATTAATTAACATTTATTGTAAACAAATTAGTAAACAATCAACACTTTTTTTTGTATAAAAACTGTCAAAATTTATGGTCAATGAATATAGAGTGAACATAGAAAGGTAGAGTTACTTTATAAGTTTATTCTCAGGGGATGGTTACTTATGGTACGGTCACAGCTCGGCTGCCTGCCTGCCTGCCTGCAGGTCGTCATGGCAATACATAAGAGTAAGAGAGTCAGACAATTTAAATTATTCGTCTCCTCTCTCTTACTCTCGTGGCGGCTGCCTGCGCAGGCAGGCAGGCAGCCGAGGTGTGACCGTGCCATTATTGAGGCAAAAACTGTTTTTGAATATAGCCGCTAGTGTCGCTGGTTAATCAAAAATGTGACGAGCGACTGCCATCTCGCTCGTTAACTTTTCGATATATCGATTAACGAGTTATCGAAGCGCGAAACAATAAAATTTCGTTAATAATCTAATTATTTTAGGATTTTCTTACGACTTTTGACAAATATTGACGAGACTAAACAAGAAAGTTTGACTATTGTAAAATATAATACTTTACGGTTTAATAGTTTCCAAATTCCAAAAATGTATTTGAAAATCAACATTTCTTAGAATTGTCATAAATCAAGTGGAATAGCGAAAGAAAATGTAATCTCTAGTTTCTTTAGAGTCATAAAACCGAGAAATTCTTGAAAGAATATAAAAAATATCTCAAGTGTCCTTTTCCATAGGACAATGCAACATGTGTTTACCATACTTGTGACCACAGAAATGACTTCGAAAAGTCACGTACACATAGACTTTCATTATGCGACGAAACTTAATTATCAATTGTATAATATGAACGTTATGAACAATTAACAACAATATTATATTGTTGCTAATAGTGCAGCATGAATGTATTATTTGAAAATGATATTATTAGTAAACTTTATCTGATTGATTGTTGTAATATTATGGTATAGGATATATACAAATATATATATATATATATATATATATATTTATGTATATATTTGTAACGTATTAATATAATAATAATATTATATTATGATACATTATCAAATTGGTTATCGTTATAATTGTTGTTTATATCTAAATATGATGAGTGCAGTATAAGAGATTTATTGTTACTAGATATGATGTAAATAATTAATAATTGTGTAATTAGTGTGAATGCAAAAGGGTTATGTTCACTTGTTGTGATACATGTTTTCAATACATAGAGTATGTTTTTAAGTGTATTAGTGCAATACAGTGTTAGTGTTGTGATTCTGAACACTCCATAGACTTTACAAACTCTATAACAGGGCATGCGCAAAGATTCTGCCATGGACCAAGGGCTAAATGCTCCCTCACGAATTCAGTTCTACTTTGGAGTTCTTTCGTAACGTACTTCAGAGTAGTCCCAAAAATAGTTATAAGAATAACTTCGACTTGTGTAATGTTTTTGACTTTAATAAATGTATTGGGTTTACTCGCGAATTTAGTTGGATTAATGATTAATTAATATTATTAATTATTAATTGATCCTTCTTATTTTCGAGGTTTTTCCCTCCGTTTTAACGGAAATTAACTTGTTTTATTTAAATATTTCCGCCTTCCTTTTCAAAGGATTAAACCAAGATTGAACATCAAATCAAATCGCGGATCTTACGCCTGCGCGTAAATAACGTAAATCCGCACGTAACAAATTGGGGGCTCAACCGGGATCTTGGTGCGGAAAAATTTAAATTTTTGCAAATTTTGTGACTTTTATTTGAACTTTTCGTGAATTTGAACTTTTAAACAATAATGGTGAAAATAATTAATTTACGGATTGTAAAATTAACAGTTTGAAAATTAAAATAATTTTATAAAATAAATTATTAAACAAATAAATAAACTATAACTGTGGAAATCGGATAAAAGTGTGTATACAATGGAAAATATAAAAGAAAAGTTTGGACATGATAGAATTGAACTGGAGAACTAAAACTACATATTTCAAATTTTTATCCTGGACTGAATATTGTTGCTGCATATGGACGTGGATTGAGTGTCAACTTGAATAATAAAAACAAATTTTGAGAATTTTATTCAATATTTAACTGGGAGTATCCTGCTTTCCTGAGTTCTGTACTTCGAAGAGATGCTGATACCTGATTTTTCCTGAACCAATGAATTGGATTTTCAATATTTTTTTTTGAGCGGACTTCTGCAAGGTCAACCAACTACAAGAAGAATTGTTTCCAAAAGTAAGAAGAATATAGTGGAAAAGTGTGTGCGCGAAAGAATTTCAAATTTTGAAATTATGGTCATTTCGTTGTGAAGTGCGTGAAACGTAGTGTTTTGGAATAATAAAATAAAGGTATGGTTAGCGTATGATTATGAAATTATAGATTATAATTTGTCTCTTCTGAGGTTATGATTTTTACACTATTTAAAGGTATAATTAAGAAATTTTTAGAAAGTTTTAAAATTTCCGTGTGAAATAATTAGTTTTCTTATTTTTGCTATTTAATAAATTATTTAGATGCATTTTTATTTCTGTGATAATTGAGTATTTTATAATTGACATATGTATTTTATAATAATTAATATATTATTGTTTTGTTGAGTCTAAATTATTTATGTGTTGTGTTAGTTAAAAATTTAATATAGTTAGTATGTAGTCAAACTAATTAGGCAATAATTATTGTTTTTATTAAATATTTAATTGTCGAATTATTTAAGATGTAGAAAATTTAATATTGATATTTTTAAAGTTATAAAATGGTTTATTTTCAATTTTGAATAATTAGAATACTTATAAATTAAGAAATATTTTATATATTTTTATTTAGTCAATTGTTGTATAACACAAAGTACTTTAAAATATTTTAATAATATAAAATGACATTAATTCTCAATTTTTGTAACTACAATATTTTCGAATTAGTTTTTCTAAATATTTTTAATTCTGAATTAACATCTTTCTTATTATTTTAAATAATAGATTATTGTTGTATTTAAAATGTTGAATTAATTAGAATTTTTAATATTTTTCTTAAGTTGTCAGAATTAATTGTTTTTACGATTGTATATAATTAATTTAAGGTAAAGCCTAGAAGGGACAAATGGTGTAAATTAATTTTATAAAATGTAAAGGCGAATGAGTATGGTTGTGAATTTTCTACAAATTCTAATGAGATAATTCAAAGAATGGAAATTATAACAATGTAAAAATGACATGACAAAGACAGACATATTTTCGAACTGTTTTACAATATTTTAGGTCAGACAATTTTAAAGGCAATGATGCTATTCCTTTTAATTTTACAGTTGTTTTCCCTATTTTGACAGGCGATAATTTTATTTCTCAAACCTTTGTCCGAAATATTCAGCCCTTAATGTCACGGGAATACGTGATAAAACTGACAAAATTGGTTAGTAATTGCAAATTTTCTTCTTATAAAAAGATAAGCACGAAAATAAATTTTAATAATTGCCTGTTATTTGTGATTATTGCACAAAGGGCATCTCTCTTTCTATTGTTTTAAAAGCGCTTCAAAGATATTATTTTCTATTTCACGGGTGTTGGACAGGGTGCTTTTGATAAAATTGAGTGTCTGTTATATTACATGTATATGGCAGAACGGCAATTTTTCATATACTTGAAAGTCTTGGTATTTCTGCATTTGAAATTTTGGGAATGGAATTTTTGCACGAGAATTCTGCCTCCTTAGGGTTTCAGAATGGGGAAATTATCCTCGATTTTCCACCTTTAAAACACACGAACGAAGGAAAATATTCCTTATCCGCGAGACTTAGAAGGAAAATTTAATCTTTCCGTACAAGAAGTTTAAAAATTTTTAGAACGTATTGAAATCAGTAAAATTGAAATTTCGTAGTTTAGAGAGAAGAGTTATCGATAATTTTAGTATATTTTGAAAGATTTAAATCTTGATAATTTCCGCGAGACCCTTGCGAATTGTGTGTTCTATCTGGCATGGTATACCAATCGACAACAAACGACTTGACAATGAAACAAACCAATTTGTTTGCATTTCTTTTACACAAGGTGACACGTTCTATGAACAAAAACACCTGTGTTCTTTTTTTTAAATAATCTGTACAAAACTTGACGAAGTACGAAAAGCCGGGATAGAATCACGCAATTGCTTGGAGTCAATTAGTATTATTGAATGAAATTCTGATGAAATGAACGAATTATCCGATTTCAGGGAAAGAGAAAATGACTGAGGACAGTAAGGATGAAGGGTGTAGTCTTGGAGTCACTTTGCGGGAATCCCGTAATTAACTCTGACAAAGTAAGTCTACGGACAGAACGTCAAGTTATGGATTGAATATTGAGTAATGATGGCCATAGAGACTACAACAAAAATAAAATCAAGTCCCGTAACAGTCGAGAGAATCCCTGGATATGTGGAATCGTTGCATTAATAAAATTTATAATAAGAAACTGGATTTTCTATAGCTCTCTCTCTCTCTCTCTTCAACTTTTTGCTTTTCATGAAAAAAAAGTAAAGAAAACAATTCAAAAAGTCGAACTATTATCTGATTTCTCGGAAAGTGATTTGAAAATATTGTTAAATATTGTAGTACGGACAGTGTCGGTCTACCAATCAAGGACAGAGATAGTACTGATGAGGAAGGGACCAGCCTGAAATCATACTATAATGTCAGAGACCCGGAAGACACTGGTTCCGTTGACATTTGCAATGTTAAGATAATGTTGAGAATTTTCTTGAGCATAGTGATTTCCATATAAAAACTGAATTCTATAAAGGTAATTTATAGTAGAAATTTTAAGGACAAAATCTTGTGTATATAAAAGAAAATTAGAAAAGAGAATATAAATACTAGAGCATTAGCGAAAACGAAAACATTTTTCTAGGTCAATGACACTTTTAAAAACCGATTCACAGTGTCAGCAGGCCAACTACCTGCAATGCAAGACCTTTTTTTTCACCATCCTCTTTAAGGGGGAAGGGGGTGTCGAGCAACTGGGACTTGCTCGTACCATGCCATTTCAATTCTCATCTTTTTCCTTCTTTCTTACCCCCTCAAAAATTTTCACTGTGAAAAAGTAAAAAAGAAAATTATTTCTTTTTGATGTCTTGTATAAAATTATTTTGAATATTCTGGAATATTTACAGTAAAATAAAAAGAAAAATTTTTCCTTCATTTGTAGATCTTTTCTCCTATTCTTGAACTTAAAAGACAAGTTTTAGAGTCAATTTGATAATTGTATCTCAATTTTGTTATTATGATTGTTTCATAAAACAGATTTCAGGTTATTATAGACAAATTAAAAATACCCAAGTGAAATTTCTTTTATAATTTTCTTGCGAAAATTCTCTTTAAGGGGGAAGGTGTGACGAGCGACTGCCATCTCGCTCGTTAACTTTTCGATATATCGATTAACGAGTTATCGAAGCGCGAAACAATAAAATTTCGTTAATAATCTAATTATTTTAGGATTTTCTTACGACTTTTGACAAATATTGACGAGACTAAACAAGAAAGTTTGACTATTGTAAAATATAATACTTTACGGTTTAATAGTTTCCAAATTCCAAAAATGTATTTGAAAATCAACATTTCTTAGAATTGTCATAAATCAAGTGGAATAGCGAAAGAAAATGTAATCTCTAGTTTCTTTAGAGTCATAAAACCGAGAAATTCTTGAAAGAATATAAAAAATATCTCAAGTGTCCTTTTCCATAGGACAATGCAACATGTGTTTACCATACTTGTGACCACAGAAATGACTTCGAAAAGTCACGTACACATAGACTTTCATTATGCGACGAAACTTAATTATCAATTGTATAATATGAACGTTATGAACAATTAACAACAATATTATATTGTTGCTAATAGTGCAGCATGAATGTATTATTTGAAAATGATATTATTAGTAAACTTTATCTGATTGATTGTTGTAATATTATGGTATAGGATATATACAAATATATATATATATATATATATATATATTTATGTATATATTTGTAACGTATTAATATAATAATAATATTATATTATGATACATTATCAAATTGGTTATCGTTATAATTGTTGTTTATATCTAAATATGATGAGTGCAGTATAAGAGATTTATTGTTACTAGATATGATGTAAATAATTAATAATTGTGTAATTAGTGTGAATGCAAAAGGGTTATGTTCACTTGTTGTGATACATGTTTTCAATACATAGAGTATGTTTTTAAGTGTATTAGTGCAATACAGTGTTAGTGTTGTGATTCTGAACACTCCATAGACTTTACAAACTCTATAACAGGGCATGCGCAAAGATTCTGCCATGGACCAAGGGCTAAATGCTCCCTCACGAATTCAGTTCTACTTTGGAGTTCTTTCGTAACGTACTTCAGAGTAGTCCCAAAAATAGTTATAAGAATAACTTCGACTTGTGTAATGTTTTTGACTTTAATAAATGTATTGGGTTTACTCGCGAATTTAGTTGGATTAATGATTAATTAATATTATTAATTATTAATTGATCCTTCTTATTTTCGAGGTTTTTCCCTCCGTTTTAACGGAAATTAACTTGTTTTATTTAAATATTTCCGCCTTCCTTTTCAAAGGATTAAACCAAGATTGAACATCAAATCAAATCGCGGATCTTACGCCTGCGCGTAAATAACGTAAATCCGCACGTAACAAAAAGGTCATTAAGGGTGCGATCCCATATGAATCCCGGCTCCTCAATTTTGTCCTTCCCTAGAGAAAGACGAACGATATTTCTATCCTTTTCTTTCTCATATATAAGAAATCTTTTTTGTCCTTTTCTCTCTTATGAAGAGACAATTGAGAAATGAAAAGGAAAAAAAAGAAATATAAAAATTGTCAGAAAAATAAATTTTTATTATAATAAAATTAATAAAGTAGAGAAAGAAAGATAATTAAAGATTTTCTCTATGCAATAGAATGACGTGTGATTGAAGCATAAAAACCCAGGCGTAACGCACCTTCCCAACCCTGACTTAAATATGGATTTTCTCACTGCGATTTAAACTAACCTTAAGCATAAAATTTCTTGTTGCAGTCTTGTCAGAATCTCATTAAACTGGATGTTGTACTATTTACATCCTTAACCAGGCACAAATATTGGTTGATAACGGTATCACGACGAGGACGCTGAAATAATTGTCAATATTCTTTTGTTTCGCTGATTTATTGTGGGTGCAATTTTAACATTTTTATCTCGTTGCTCGTGTTGGGGGAATGGTTTTGCGACTAGGACTTTCAGTTTTAGCATAATAATAACAAACAAATTTAAACAGTGAGGAAAATTTTACATATACATATATATATATATATATATATATTTATTCTGTGATCATATTTTTTTTGTTTTTGAAAGTATATATTTTACTAATTAGGGGATATTTTTGATTCGCGAGTGAGTTAAAAGTGTTTGTGACTTTTTTTTTCTCAATAATAGGGGTGTTAGCCACTTTAATTGTCTTCGATGTTCCGATTCTATAGCGTCTTCTTGGCCAATTTGTAAAATAACATGTGAGTAGTTTTCTTTTTTACACTTTTCTTTCTAAACGATTTATTATACGTTTTTTTTGCCTGCAATTTCAACAATAGAAAACAAAAGATTAAAATCCCACGGAAAAAATAGAAAACAGGAAGTTTTCTAATCCGTTGAATATGAAATTTCTGTTTGTAAATGATTCTGTCAAAATTGATTTAAAATTGACAAATAAACAAACGATTTAGCAATGTTTGGTGATATTATTTTTGAAGAAATGACATGAAATAATAAAAAAATAACTAATTATTGTAAAGAATGAAGAAATGTCATGTCTTCAGATTTCTGATTTTATTTGAATAATTGCAGGTGCGAGGAAGTAACAGAAGTTGAAACACATCATCAACAAGCTGTAAGTTCCACAATGGGCGTCGCTGAAGATGAAACACCATCGTCAATGATTCCTCATCCAAATCTAACAACAAATCAGAATCATCCAAATCAAGAAGGTAATTTTAATCGCACAATTAATAGATTAAACAATTAAGACGTCAAGTCAAATTAAACTTAAATTAAAGTCTTAATATTTCTAATTTTGTGAACATTTTTTCTTACTATTTTATTTTGTTTATTTTTGTTTAATTTTTATTTTATTTTCAACAATTATTTCTTTTTATAGAATTGAGAAATAGATAACAAAAAAAAATCACTTTCGCTGGTTTATGTTTCTTCTAGAGGCAATTTTCTAAGCTGATGTTATTTTTAACGATGATGAGAGAAATATTTTGTTGACTATTTTATAATGCAAGCAAAAGAGAAGAGTTTTGTCTGGAATTTTATATCATTGGTTAGAAAGTTTCATTATATTGGCAAGAACTCCTTTTACTTTGTTTAAATATTTAAAAAAATAACAAAAGTATTTCAACTTTAAAATATTTCTTCGCTTTGGAGATACTGAAGATGTGAGAATTAATTATAATATTGAAATGTGAGTATTTTTTCCAAATTTTGTTTGAAATTTAATTTAATTTCAAATTGAAGATTTGAATTTTTAATAACACGCAGAAAAATTAATTTTCATCGCAGGTTTTATTCAAAATTGCGAAAACGAAAGTTTCTCAGGGTTGCCTCAGGTCAGGGAATTCAGGGCAAAGTCAGGGAATTTTGGTGACTTTTTTGTTTGCCTTATAAACTATGAAATTACCACGAATTCTAATACAAAAACCTTCAATTTTTTCTACTTCTGAAAATAATTTCTTTTTAAATAACTTAATTTTTCAAAAAGTATCATAAAATTATGACTTATAAATTATTTAATGAATAATTCTAAAATTATTTAAATTTTAAATATATATTTAATTAATAATTATTGAAAATAATAGATTTATAAAAGAAATTTAGTTAAGAACACTAAAAAAATTGAATTTTGAAAATTTTACAAAATAATTGCAAAAATTCAATTATTTTTAAATGCAATAAAATTCTTCGCAGAAATTCAATTATGATCAATATTTTTTTTAAATATTGATCAAACATTCAATTATTTTTATAAATAATAAAATTCTCCGAAATTTAATTATTTTCAAAAATTTTAATAAAGTTCATTACAAAATTTCAATTATTTAAAAAAAAATTTTAACAGAATTCTACGTAAGCAAAAATTTAATTATTTTCAAAAGCAATAAAATTCTTCGCAGAAATTCAATTATTTTAAAAAATTTTAATAAAGTTCTAGTCAAAATTTCAATTATTAAAAAAAAATTTAACAAAATTCTACGCAAGCAAAATTCAATTATTTTTATAAATAATAAAAATTTCACAGGAATTCAATTATTTACAAATTTTTTATGAATTTCTTGGCAATAATTCAATTATTTTCATAAATAATAAATTGTCTAACAGACATTCAATTATTTTCATAAATAATAACATTTTTTGCAGTGATTCAATTATTTTTAAAAGCAATGAAATTCTTCGCAAAAATTCAATTTTTTTTTAAATTCTCGCCAAAATTTCAATTATCTTTATCAATAATAATATTTTTCACCGAAATTCAATTATTTAAAAAAATTTTAGAAAAATTCTTGGCAAAATTTCAATTATTTAAAAAAAATTTTAATAAAATTCTACTCAAACATTCAATTATCATATATAATAAAAATTTCCCAGGAATTCAATTATTTACAAATTTTGTTATAAATTTCGTCCCAATCATTCAATTATTTTCATAAATAATAAAATTTTTGACAGAGATTCAATTATTTTCTTAAATAATAAAAAAAAAACTCTTCGCAGAATTTTAATTATTTTTAATACAGTTTTCGTGAAATTCCTCGAAAAATGTAATGATTCCTAAAATTTTTATTAAAATTCGTCAAAACAATTCAGTTATTTTAAAAAAATTTGTCGAAATCCAATTATTTTAATAATAATTTTTAAAAGAATTAAATTATCAAAAAAAATTTGTATAAAATTCTTCGCAGGAATTCAATTATTTTCAAAGATTATAAAAAATTTTACGGGAATTCAATTATTTTAAAAAAATTTAATAAATTTCTTCTCAAGAATTCAATTATTTTTATAAATAATGAAACTCATAATAGAATTTCAATTATTTCTAATACGATTTTAAATAAATTTTACAAAAAATGCAATTATTCTCAAAAATTTTATTTAAATTCAATTATTTTTATAAACAATAAAAATTTTCTCTAGAATTTAATTATTTAAAAATTTGGAATAAAATTCTTTATAAGAATTAAATTATTTTCTTAAATATTAAAATTCTTCTTACAAATTCAATTATTTTCATAAATAATAAAACGCATTGCTAAATTTCAATTATTAATAATTTTATTTAATACAATTTGTGAAATAAATACCTGGAAAAATGCAATTATTCTTAACAGTTTTATTAAAATTCGTCGAGAAAATTCCATTGTTTTTCAAAAATTTTGACAATTCTTTTTAGGAATTCGATTTTAAGAAACCTTCAATAAATTAAATAAAAATTAATTGAAAATTGAATTTCAGTTAAAGTTGTAGATAAGAAATGAATATTAAAAGCATTATAGCGTGAATTTTTAGAAATAATTGATTTTTAAAAAGGTTTCAAATTAAAATCTTTGAAAATTTGAATCTTTTAACTTTTTTGCTAACAATTCTGTAGAGTTAATTTTATTCAAAAAGTTTAATTAAATTTTTCTGAAATTATTAGAAGTTTTTATTTTCTACTATAAATTTAATAGAAGAATTTTCGAATAATAGAAATTTCGTAAAATTTAATTGTAAAAAAATCGATTTGAAAACTATCACAGAACTTTTTTTTAAAAATTTATTAAAAATAGTTGATTTAGAGAAGACTTATTTTAGTTGATAATTCTAGAAAATAATAATTGAATTGAAACAATATTCTTATATAATAAAAAATAATGATTTTATCACTCGGTCATTTTTAATTATAAGTTATCTAATAATTTTTAGAGTGAATCAGAATATTCTTTAGGGTCAGGGAAAAAGTCAAAATTTCGACTGGAAGTCAGGGAAAGGTCAGAAAAAAAACAAAATTACAGTTTTTTGGCAACTCTGTTTTTGAAGGAAATGAAGGTTTTTTCTTTTGAATTCTAATCTTCTTTTGACACTTATTATTATACAATTATCATTCATAGTTACTCGATAGCCCTCTTTTGATTAAATTGCAGATAAATTGTATATCTCACATAAAATTCTATACGTATCGTACAGATAAATTATATCAACATGGGAATCAATATCAGATTCCGTATTTTTTTTCTTTTCTTTTTTTTTGTTAAATTCGAATAGAAATAATATTGAGGACATCGATTATTGGCTCTCTATTTACAAGTTTTCCATTTAATTGAAAACTTAATTACTTATTAATTCGTGATTTTAATTAACTTCACCTATTTCCTTTAATTTTTTAAATAACTTTATTATTTTATTTAACTGTTTTACAATAAACAGGACATAGACTTATTTTTTTTATTGTTTTTAGAAAAATAAAGACGAACATTAACAAAAAAATGAGATATTAATTTTGAAAAAAAATAATATTTATAACTTGTGTACTAATTTCTCATTTTGAAAATTATTTTTATCATAAACTGATCATCTTTAAATTGTTCTTGTAATTGATTGCTTCACAAATTTTCAAGAAATAATTCAAAGTACAAAAAAAATTAAAAAGAACAAAAAACATTTATCGTGAATTTCAAATTTCTTTGAAAAAATTTTGTTTTCATTGTTATCTCCGTTAATCTTTTAATCAAAACGATACAATTAAGACAAAATTATTTTTGACAAAGGGAATAAAAAAATTATACGCATATTTTTAAATTATTCAATTTAATGTATTTTAAGTATCTAATAATATTTTTTTACATTAAAAAGTATTTTAAATTATACTTTTTTTTTAATATCAGAATAACAAAAAAAAGCGGGAATGAAGTTCGAGATTTAATTTACATATATAAATATCAAAACACGTGCATATAGAAAAAGTAAACAATTTGAATGAGGAAAAAATGATTACGATATCGATGATACACGTGTTTTTATATAAACTTTGTCTTTGAAATGCAAGTAAAGATTGCAGCATGAATATATAAAGAAAGGTTGAAATTTATCATATCAGTCAAGTGTACATTCACAAACACTAATAAAATGTGAAATGTGGGTTTTTAATGTTGTAATTCTTAAAATAAATTTTTTTTTACATTACATAGGCCTTATAAGCTTAATCTAGATCATAAATTATAAACCGAATTGTTTCGTACAGTTAATAATCATTAATTAAGTAGAAGTGCTCTAAATTAAACTTCAATATTTTCTCAACAAATATAACATAATATGATGCAATAAAAAAAATTCATTCTCCTTACGCTCTTCAATTAGAATTAAAAATTTTTTAATTATCTGAATTTATCTCTAACTTTCTTTTGTACTTTTTTTCAAAAATTATTTTTCCATACAGTTTTTTTATTTTATTTTTTTTAATTTTAATTTTTTTTTAAATTGCAGGTCTCGGATATTATGACTTTTTTTTTACTTTTTTCCACTATTTTAAAAAAATGCGCCTTTTTTCGATTTATTTTCTCAAATAGCGACTTTTTCAAATTTTCTTCCAAATATTGCAACAAAAAATCATATTTTTAGTATAAAATGCAACTTTTTTCAATTTTTAGGTAATTTGAAAAATAACCATTGACAAATCTTTCAAAAATTATTTTTCAGCGATTTTTCTAATTAAATTAAATTAAATACAATGAAAAAGGTTTTAATTAACTAAAATTTTGTAAAATTTAATTGAAAATAATTGATTTTTTTAGTATTTTATTACAATTTTTTTTAAATCAATATTTTAAAATATTGAAGAAATTTAGTTGCAAATTTTGAAAATATAATTGAATTCTCAAAAATTTTATTCAAAAATCTAGAACAGTAAATTTAAAAATGAAAATTATATTAAAATATTTTTGAAAAAAGTAATTCTTAAAATTTTTTTAACTCTAATCTTTTAAAATTTAATTATTTTCAATTACATATTTCCGAAAAATTCAAATGCATACAAAAAATAATATTTTAGAATTATTTTTAACATTTTGGAGAAAACAATCATGATCAAAATTTTTAATTAAGATTCTTTAAAAAATTAATTAGTCCTTTTTTAAATTACACAACAATTCTTTTAAGAAATTCAATTATTTTCGAAAAATTGCATTATAAAATTTTTAAAAAACCAATACTTAGAATTGTTTAATCATAATTTTTTAAAATTCAATTACCTTCGAACAAAGTAAATTTTAATTTAATTTATTTTAATTGAAATTATTTATTAATTGCGACTTTTTCGGCTTTTCTTCCAAATGTTGCAACAAAATACCATATTTTTAGTATAAAGTGCAACTTATTTTGATTTTTATAGTGTGAAATAAAAACTGTAGACAAATCTTTCAAAAATTATTTTTT